GATGGATAAGAGAAAGGGTTAATGATTTTAATAACAAAGATGAAATTGATTTTATTATTAGATACAAACTATCAAAACGTTTAGCCTTTTTCTTTAGGAAATGAATACAAACCACTGTAGGTAGTGGTTTGTGTTTAGGCTATCCCACATAGTGCATTGCTTTAGGTTATCCCACAAGGTTTTTAGTTAAGGCGTATATCTGTGACCAGCGACCGCATTGAACTGATTTGCGATCAAGAGCCGTACTCTTTTATCCCGGCTAAAAAGAGTGTCCCGGCTCTTCTACCAACATTATCAAATTTATTATTTCATTGTTCGAAAAAATAGGCTCCCTTTTCCTTCTCCTGGCTTTTGGTAACCCTAACCCAGCGTTCAAACAATTGTTTTGCGTTTGGTCAGACGTAAGTAAGGCAAAATCTAAACCTAAATTGTCATTATTGTGCTAGTATTTTATAGAAAATAATAATTTCGGTGTTATCTTTGTGTCTCGTCTTGTAATTCTTTTGACACCAGTTTTTTTTTTTTTTTTTACTACTTCAAATGTACCAAACTGGTTAGTGAACAAACAGAATATTGAACAGCCCTGTAAAAAGTTTGATTTTGAGTCTTGACTCGACTCGACTGCAAAACTCAACCAATTTGATCCTCGAATATGTTTGATCAACATTGCTTTGCCTTTATTTACTTATGTTAATTGTTTTGGTATTTATTCTTGCTTTCTGTTGTTATTTTGCTCAGAATCTATTGTATTCCTGTAAGCTTGCTGTCTCCAGTTTTGTTTTCACAACCTCATAAACACTGATTTATTTTCTAGGTTATGTTTACTTGCTCCCGTAACAGCCCGATATTATGACAGTTCACTGCCACCGCCACCTGGATTTTACTCTAAACTCTCGTTTATAAAACCAGCGTTAGTTTTGACGCGTTTTCGTTGGTGAAACCAGATTTCCTTAACTGTGGTTTAAATCATCGGTTAGTTTTAACCGAAGTTTAACTAAACCATCGTTAGCAAGAATTTGGTGAAATCGGGCCTAAATGATTAATTCAGTTATAATTAATTTAAACCGTTAAATAAAAAAATAAATTTCCACTCTGGGTGTTTAGGTTTCTGCTACGAGGAAAACAACATTTTGTCGTATTAATTTAATCTTTAAAATGCATTTGAGAATTGTCTGAAAGTTAAGTCTATAAAAAGCTGACCCTCATAATTATATTATTTTTTCGAAAGGATTACATGGGTATCAACGTCCAACATTACGAATTTGCATCTTTGAGATTAGTATTACAGTAATATGCGTGAAATAAATCCATTAGTATTTTTTCTCTTGTAAAACTAAATTGAATGGACATTTTGAAGAAGTTTGTAAAAAATAATATCAAAACTGATATTTTGTGTAAAGAATCCCTCAATTCCCTCCTTTTTAAGCTCGTACTGGTTCGAAATCTCTTACTCTTACTTACTTATGTGGACATTAAAAACCAAGGCGGTCTTTGGCTTTACTAACCATGTGGCTTCAGCATCCTCTGGCTTCTAACAGCTGTAGGTTTGCTCCAATATATCCTTCGTAACCTCGTCAACCCATCGCATCCTTGGTCTTCCCAGTGTCCTCCTTCAATCCGGAGTACCTCTTATCACCTGCTTTCATAGAAATCGGAGACTCTTATGAACTTATGGCACCTACATATATTATAATTTCAACGAATGGGAGCAGGGCTTATGATGACCCTAAAATTAAATAGTAGTGATCCTCGACTTTAGCTTTGTCCTGAAAACGATAATATATACTTTCCTGTAAAAATTTCAATAAAGGTAATTTTACACCTATCACCATTGACTATTGGATACTTAAGTTGTATAAATAGTCAAAGCTATAACCAACAAAGGTATCTCACCGAAAAACAGATGTTTGAAAATCAAAAACCTTTCATAGCTAACCTTACTAAGAAAACGCGTGTAAAATTCTCAAGTTACACTCACTGTACAGTGTACAACGAAGGTCGAATGTCAGTTTATACCGTATTATATTCCCTGGGAAAGTGCACCGAGTCTATTTGTATTGAGTAACGAGATTATTGTGAAGGACTGCTATGTTTACAACCTATTTGTCACTGAGGGTTGGGCCAAGAGCAAATGTCAGGGCCGGGAGTGCCATAGGGTGGATGAATGGGACCGTTGCTATTTGTTCACCTAGGTCGGTGTGAAATGTGCATATATATTGGGCGATTTTAAAATAATAAGTACTAAAACAACAAATAATAATAGGGGTACAATATTAGGTAATAGTAGATGTTCTGGGTGAATGACAGTGGTGTCATATATAGTGTTGCAAGTTTCATCGCCAAGTTAAGTAGGTAAATTTACTTATCAATCACAATTTTCACTAAGACGTTTTCTATTTTGAATAATTTAATACGGGTGTGAGTTTAATGTCGATGTTTACTTCCAAAAATTTTTTCACGTTGGTTTTTATTGTTTTTCAAATATTTTTTTATACACATTTTAAAATTACATCAATATATCTTTCATTTTGTCTCAGTATCCGAAACGAGAAAATAATTCTTACAATGTTAAATAGTTTAGTAGAGGAGCGAAACCTGGACATTCAACCGAAGTTAACAACTCCTGCAAAATTCAACAAGCCACTCGTCGACTAGATGTGTGATATCGATTGCCGGAGGAAATCGGAAGGCATAGTAGACAGTACGTTTTACAAGGATAGATCAACTAAGGAGCTAAGAATAAATGTATAGATCCTTAGAATAGCAAACTATTTAGTAACATAACTAAACAGTAACAGAAATTTAAACAATCACATTAATAACATCAATTATTTAAAATTATAACTATTTTCCAAAACCACTGTATCAAGGTAAATAGTGACTGAAATATATATAAATTTAGTTAAGATTAGATAGTTTATACAAGCTTTTAGTTTACAAGCTTTATTAACTTATATGCTTTTTAATGGTACACAAGCCACCGAATTTCTTTGTGTTGAATCTTGTAAGGGTGAGACAATGAGAACGCCACAATTTGTTTTAGCTGCCACATGTTAATTGTTGCAACAACGAATGATCAGCTGTGCTTAAAACATCAATTAAACTGTGCCATTTTAGTAAATATTATGCCTGAGGCTATTAACACTGAGATTTTGATGTGGAAACCTGTTTTTAAAATAGTGGTTCTTGTGCAAAAACCCAGAGATAGTTTGGACCACATTCCATCCTTGGTCAACATGACACTGTTTCAGATTGGAAATCAATGGTGAACTGGGTAAAATTATTTAGGATAAACGCTTAAACCTTAAAAATAATCGGTCGGTGCCGCCAAACCCTTTGTACACCAGCAAATGTTGAAAGAGTGCGAGTCGCAGTAACTCGAAGTCAAAAACGATTTGCCAGGAAGCTTTGTTGTTGAAAGCTTTACGTTGGCTCTTTTTTGTGGGAGGGGGGGGGGGATTCTGATAAGCTACTTGAAGTTCGAGGTTTTTCAAAGTCGCCCCACAGGTTTGCTTGAACCGAAGCTAAGAATTGTCCAAAAACCAAAGTGATTCCTGAATAAATGCTGGAGGAGTATTTGATGGAGTTTTCAAGTGCCTTATGTCAAGTAGGACAAGGACGTCACTTGAAGATTTTGTTTTAAAGAAATGAAAAAATGACTTTGTTAAGTTAAAATGGGAAAGGATAAGCTGTGTTTTGATGTGTTATTTATATCCATAGGGTGAATATTATTGAGTTTGTACTGCTTATAAATTGGGGCGCTTTTATTGCCCCACCCTGTATAAAAACGTTACTGAGTATACCATTAGCGGTATTATGTTTTAATGTTTTCGTATTACTGCAGCTAACACAGCTGTTTTCAATGTATGACATGCGTGACTAAAGTAGCTCTTTTTCACCCTTGGAGTAAATATCTCTTCCTCATACTCTGAACAGAAATGACTTATTTTCAATGACAGCTGATATCAGCTGAAAGTAAATAGCGCAAAGTAAATAGTACCTATCTTGATTTTCCAAGCTGTAATTAATGAAAAATATAAAAAAAAAAAACAGCTGATTTCCCTTGCTCTCTGCCTTGCTCTCTAAAATGACGTATATATTCCATCACTGGAAGCGAAAGTGGCTCTTTTTGTACGCAATAGAAATAGTACCAAAAAGACACTTTTTCTCCGTGTGATGAACAAATATTGTCATCAAACTGTAGAAATGACCTTATAATCGTTAAACAAATTTGACCGCATAATTTGAGGTTATACAGAGACGTCATCAATGTTTACACGTTACAAAGCATTTTCATTATGTCTGTTTCAAATAGTAAACAAAGTAAATTTTGAGGTTAGCGAACCAAAAATACAGGAGGTTTACTTCAGTGTACATCAGTAATGTCAAAACATGAACATGAACATAATAAGCAATCAAATTATTTAAAATGTAAATTTTAACCTTCGGTTTACTCTCTATTGAAAAGGGGTCTGTGGACAATAGTTTAAGCAATCAAATGACTACTTAAAATGTAAATTTTAACCTTCAGTTTGCACTCAATCGAAAAGGGGTCTGTGGACATTAGTTTAAAAAGCTTATTGACTTAGTACTGGCGTCCACAAAAAAAATTAAAACTAACTGAATTTACAGTAGGGCTAAATTATGCACTTTGTAGCAAATAATTTTGTTTATGTTATAGGTGTGAAACGTTTCCACGGCATATAAGCTAGGTAAAAAAGGGATTTATCAACATATTGAAGGAATATCTTCGTATACGTGTTTAGGACGATTCTTCTGTATTCCAATATATAAATCAGTCAAATGTAATACAACCACTTGGAAGGTAATAAATCTTGGTTTCTCTATGCCACTAAAGCAGAAGCTTTACAGCGATACTTACACTTGTTATTGCGTTTAAACCTAATCATAAACAATATTTCTGTCTAGTGTTATGAGGATTGTTAGTAGAATAAACCTTTAAAATAGGACCAAAGAAAATACAGGTTTGAAGTAGCGAATTTATTTTAATTTACACTTTGTACTGTTTTATAAACGAGGAATAGTTGATTTTAGTAATGGCCATGGTATACTGGAGCATGTTCCTCATGATGATGGTGGTAATGTTGAGGATGGACGTTGTGTTCCCGGTGGACGACGGCGTTAAAGCCAGTGTGGTGGTCAGCTGTGTAGTGGACGACGCGCTTTGAACCGTCCGCCTCCACCAGCTCGTAGCTGCCGTGCACCACATCCCCGTCGCGCTCCTCCTTGTGGCTCTTGATGTCGCCGGTGTGGCTGTCGTGGACGCCGTACTCGAACTTGTACTTGGGGTGAGGGTCGTAGTAGTCCTCCTTGTACTCCACGTGGAACCCGTGGTCGTGGTCCCCTACATGCTCGTGTCCGTGGTCGTGGTCCTCTATATGCTCGTGTCCGTGGTCATGGTAGCCGTGTTGAGGGAAGGCGAATGAACAAGCCACCAAAAAGGTGACAACGAAGATTATCTAAATCACATGGAGTTGTTTAGGCATTTGGAATTAGGAATTTGCATGGAAATTTTATACAAAAATATTTCTTGACAAATCTTATACATTAGCTTAGTATTACAGTACATATTTTAAAAATATCTTGCAGAGTAAGTTACCCAGGTACAAGAGCTACAACAGAAAACATTGAACTCGGAAATATGTTACTACTTTTATAAACTGTATTTTGTGTATGTAAGAATTTGTATTTCCATGAGTATTTGTTACGAGTGATTAGTATAGTAAAATACCTTCCATTAGTTTCACGAAATTATTACTACCATAGTAGTTGCTAACAACGAAACTGTCGATACCAATTCCTCCAAGAAATCCCATTTTTGAAAATATTTTACAATTAATCAATAGTTAACAAATGCCCAAATTCTGAATCTTCATAAATCATCTATAAATTCAAATTACATTTACACAAAACCAATAATTAATTAAATAAAAAATGCCCACATTCTGTATCTTCATAAATAATCTGTAAATTCAAATTGTATTTACGCAAAACCAATTAATTATATAAACAAAGTCAAGTATTTGCTATTTATTGAAGTTTGAAAATGGACTAAACTCCAAAAGTCCAAAACTTGTCACCACCGAATAAAAAATAATTTTAGGGTGCTCAGTTGTTTTTAATTTACTACTTATACTAATGTTATATTGAACACGTTAAGTAAAAATAATGCATACTTGACTTATTTAAACTATTATATTTAAAGTATTCACTATATTGTATTATTTATATTCAACCTTCAGTTCTTAAACCTTTAGTTTATTTAAATAAATCAAATTTATAATAGTCGTTATAAACCATTATAGGTAACTATAATGCATCATAGGAGAAAGCGATTTACCTGTTGCACCATTGTAGTAGTTGTCTATTGAAGTACGAGAGCTGACCAAGTAGGAACTGATGAAGGTACAATGTAACAGCGGCTTAATATACATGTGGAAGTCACGGTGGATGCTCGTTGTGATACGTTCATATAACACTCATAATCACTTCAAATTATCGCGGAATTTCCGTGAAAACGGATAGCATAGAAGTGGAATGCGGCCGGAATAGTCCTAGGAATATTTAATTTTTAGAGATAGTAGCTTATTCTACGTGATTGCACTTAATTTTACAAATCAATTGTTTTATTTACCAATTACAAAATCTTTAATCCAATTGAGTCTATTGCACATAAAATCTACAAATGTCTCATACAATTAACTTGTACAAAATAAGATGTAATCAAAAATTCGTAATACATAAATATGTACCATAATGCTATCTACTGAAATTTAAGACAAACTGAGTCGTATCCGAAAATATACCCATCAATCCAATGTCGGAAATACAAGTTTAATGGTAGTTATTCTCGCCGATCTCCAGTTCAATTAACTGAGATTTAACACTATCTGAAATCATGTATTTTTATAACTTCTTTACATAATTATATCCGTCCTGGTGGGTATAAATAAGAACAAGATGCCTACTCATACTTCCAATTCTTTGTGCAAGCATTAAAAGATAAAATAATTCTTTTAGCGAATTTAATTGTATAACAAACTAACGATATGAACGGTTATTACCGAAATGAGTAACTCGGAATTTCACGAATAACGTTTAATATTATTATAAGTTATAAATTAAATTTAACCAACTACGAGCTTAAAATTAAAAACATTAGTCTATCTGCTAGGTAGTTTACAAATACTTGAGACAATACAATTATGAATGAGGTGAGATTATAAGAATTTGTATTGTATGAGTATTGTGTTATCCAATCTCTGAGTTCATGAAATCAAACCAAAACTTAGTAAACATGGAAGTAAATTGCTTAATTCGATGACCGAGTAGCCGTCATATAACCATGAATGTTATCACTTTCAAAATATCGGTACCGTAAATGCATTCAAAGATTTTCATTTAAGATTAATTCCGTTTAAGAACTTGTTTTTCTTTCTTTATTAGTGTTTTTAAATTATTGTCAAGCAAAACTATACTGTTTATGGTTAGTTAAACAATTAGCGTTAAACAAATAGATACTTTAGTTTTGCAGTTATGCCAAACGTCATAGACCCTAACAGATCATAAAATCATCATAACTTACTATTTTTGATTAATCAAATTGAAATTTTAAGAAAATTTTAAATTGTCTTTTGTAAGCAAAGTTATAATGAAATACTAATCCTGGGTTTCAGTTAAGTAAGAACAATGTTTATAACTGATGTATACGACAGTCAGTTAATGAATTACGTGAATGTTCAGTTGACCATAACTGAGGCATAGTATATAACATGGTATGTGAGGATGGGTAGTCATCAGAAAGAATTAGCTTTCGAGAGAAGACGTCGAACCACATCAACATGGAGATCCAGGTATGGTTTAAAACAATGAATATAACACGAAGCCAATAATATACTACTAATCAGTAACGTATCGATTTAACAAAAAGGAATACAGAGATTTTTTTAAGTACACAAAATGAAGCGTTAAAGTATCATGTAGAAATCAAATGTGCTCTCATTGACCAAGGGGAATATGACTTTTTAATTTATCGGCGAGGGAATTTACTGGAATTTGAAGTTCAAAATTGTTAAAAAATTAGTTAAACTAAATAAGGAAATTAGCCGCAAAATAGATTTACGCAGTTAATAATTTGAAAAATCTTACATGAAGCAAATTAATCTGTTCGTTTTAATAAGTAATTCTAGTCAACATCGGAAAGTTTTGAATACTGTTTACATTGCATAAAGCACAACATTGTATTGTAAAGCTTATTTAGCTTATTTTTTTTAGGTAGTTCTTAGTATACAGATACTAGCAAACCTGTCGTGGCCTCGCTCAAAAAAATTTAAATTAAACAGTTAAATGTTCAACCTGAATAGGGCCTATACAGTTCTTGTTTTTTAAATCCATTTAACTATTAAAATGTGTTATGCAGTAAAACACTTTTTCCTACAGTCACCCGACAAAGTTGGCTTCCTTGTACTGTTTATAGTACATAAAGCTGCTAATTGCTGCATATTTATACTTTGTCGTACGGTTTATACCTAGGCACACATCAGGATTCCAACGAAACAACACAAAACAGCGTGGTTCTAGTTAATCCGTGTACGCTTGGAAATAGGTTGGCAACACTTAAAGATAATAATACTATGAGCAGCTGATTGACCATTATAATTACGATTTAACCTGTCATTTCGTGTTTAACGTTTCGGTATTTCTGAACTTTCTGGACTTTTCTTTTAAACGTTTTTAAAACATTCCTACGATACCTTTAAAGCATTTTTTTAGGCGCGGAAACCACTTCAAATTACAAAAACATACTAAACTATATTCTCAAGTCGCGGAGCACATTTCTTGCCGAGGAAAAATAGCAGAGTGATACGGACTGGGTACTACTTTCTCTAGGGCACCTATTTGTGTTGCCAGCTGAACTTAAAAGCGTGTTGTATAGTGTTTGAAAGACTAATTATTTATATGCTTTATAGTCACTGTAGGAAAAATATTATGTGTAACACGAGTGCAAAAGGCCTTTGCTGCACTCGAGATCATTCCTCGTAAACATTGCTCTCGTTGCAGCAAAGTGCCACTTTGCCCACTAGTTACACAAATAACTATTTCAAATCACAAAAATAATGTAGGTAAATATTTTCAATTCATGTAATAAAATAAAATAAAACCAGCTGTTCCTATGCAGATTCAAAAGTATTCATGTGTTCAAATGTAAACAAATCTTTTGACCATAAGGATAACATGGGACTTAAACAGCCACTGAGGCAAAGCCATGAGGGAATCTTGAAAACGCTTCTTATTGCACACCTAGAGGTTGATTGAAACTTGTAGTTTTTTAAAGTGGTATTTGACTTTTATAAGTATAGATAGGATAGTGCTGAGGCTTTTATTAGGCTTTGTTTTCTTTTGATACATTATATTAAATTTACATTCCTCGTTTAGCTTTACCTGACTGCTTTGTACCTAGGTGATTTGCTTTGGTTGTAAGGGTAAACTTATATTTAGACAAAACTTTACTTTGGTTAAAACTGTTATAGGTTGTCTTTGTCGCTATCTTCGTGCTAGTTGCAGCTGTTGCCTTTCCCCACCACAGAAACCATGACCACGGACACGAACATGTAGGGGACCACGACCACGGGTTCCACGTGGAGTCCAAGGAGGACTACTACGACCCTCACCCCAAGTACAAGTTCGAGTACGGCGTCCACGACAGCCACACCGGCGACATCAAGAGCCACAAGGAGGAGCGCGACGGGGATGTGGTGCACGGCAGCTACGAGCTGGTGGAGGCGGACGGTTCCAAGCGCGTCGTCCACTACACAGCTGACCACCACACTGGCTTTAACGCCGTCGTCCACCGGGAACACAACGTCCATCCTCAACATTACCATCATCATCACGAGGAACATGCGCCAGCTCATCTCTTAAATTCACATCACTATTAGGCATCACTTATAATAGTATTGTTGAAAAAAGATAATTTGTTCTGTTGTTACTCCAATATCGTTGTATTAAAATGATGTTATATCGACGATACTATTGTAATATATCTTTTATATTAGGCTGTTAATTTATGTAATAGGAATTAAGTTGTAATTAAAGTAACAAATTTCTCAACACATTTAATTTTTTTACCTCCTTAACAAGTGAAATAAAATAATGATTCGACATTGCTAGGCCATTTTTATATATTTTAATATCGTACTGAAATTTGGCAAACTTTGGCAATAATTACCATTACTATATCTAAAAAACTACAAGCCATAAGAATTCAGTAATCAGAATGCAGGTTACAATTATTAAGCTCTAGGTGTGCAATATGAATGAATGAATGAAATGGCTTATTTCCACATAATATATACAGAAGACAAAAACAAACTTTTTAATACAAAATATACTTACAAAATATAAACTAAGAATAAGAATAAAAAAGAACATTTCTGTATAAATTAATTAAATTGTTTTGATGAAATACAGCACCCATAGGCAAGTTCTGTCTGTGCGGCTGCTGGGTTTCTGTTTAAATAATTATTAGTAACCAAATCATATGAAATTATTACCTTTATAAAAAAAAGTTAATAAATGGAACGGGTAGACTGTTGCCTATCCTATTATTATTTTAGGGAAAGAGATTTATGAATTCAATAAAAATAGAATAATAACTATAATGAATAAGAAGCGTTGCCCCAGTGGCCTTTAAAGTTCCCATGTTATCCTTATGGAGAAAAGATTTCGTTTCCATTTGAACCAATGATATTTTTGAATTTTCCAATTGGTGAAAACAATTAATGGTGAAAACATCACAGACACCATAGACCTGCAACTGTTTAGCTCCTGTGAGTGTTATAAGAACCACAGTAAAACATCATGCCAGGTTTTTATGTTACTTAAAGTTACTTTAAGATACATAATAATTTTCAATAAAGTTATGAAAGATCTTACGGTACTATTGGAAAATTAGCTTTAAGAATGTAAACCTATGTGGAAGGAGATAAGCGTATTAAGGTGTAAAGTATAGAACAGTAACAATGAAACTGTTCACTCTGGAACACGTGAGTTAAACATTTGATTATTTAAACGATTCTACTAATTCAGTCTCAGCCTGAATTATATTGTCCAGTTAGATCGTACCGGACATGGCGCTAAGGCGGGGTAAACCCAGCCATAAAGTAAAGGGTCCCAAGGTCCAACTAGCCGGAGACGCGTCCGGGGCCCTTCCCTCAGCCGGCCACTAACTGTAAGGCACAGCTGTTCTTATTGTGCTACTTTGAAGTAACTTGGGTGGATAAAACATTATACACTTAGATGTATATATTCTATCCCGGTATTAAGGATGAATCCAGTAAAAAATATCTGTAGTTGTAGATCTGGTCACTCATTTACGACATAGTGCTGCTGTCGATTACTGATTACTCAAAAGAAAATTTTACTTGTTTGTCAAATTGAACTAGAAGGTCTCCTTATCGTTAACTAAAGCATATTAAATGTCATATCATCATCATAGTGACGAAACAGTTCCTTATGGAAGCTCATGTTGGAGTACTTTACGCCATTGTCAGTCAGCTTATATGCATTGTTGCACAGCTACATATGTAGTTTTATATGGTGAATTTAGTTTTTCATATAGAGTTTTCGCAAGCTCATAGAGTATATATATGTACTTTTAAATTAAATCATTGGTTTTATGGCATAAACGGTTAAAAATTTTGTTTTCAGATGTGATTCTAGTACAAAAATAAAACATTCATAGAATTGTCAAAAAGCTAAAAACACCCTGTATACAAAATTACTACAGCTGGTAGACAGAACGTCTACTTCAATGTCCAAAATAGAATTGTACAACATAATACCATAGATAAAACATACTCCCTTAGATAATACGTTAGGGACCAGACTACCATATTAGTTGAACAGTGTGTTCTAAGTTCTACCAAGACACAGCTTGACTAATTAGCTTTACAACGAGTGTTCGGTAACACAAATTGTGTCCCGCGCTCGTGACGTCACGGTCGGGCGAGTATCAGCCCCAGCGCCACCAACAGTTTATGTGTCACTGCAACAGTAAGTTATTTGGCCACAGCCACAGCCAGGTCTGGACCACGACCACGAGCCGAAAATGTAACAATGCAACTGTTAAAAGGTTAGAGAGATAAAAATGAAGAGAGATGTTGTAAAAGAGCGTGATTGTTTACAAGTAAGAGCCAAAAGGATTCATTTAAATGTCAAAATACTTGCGATCCGATACAAGTGTTATTGAATTACGGCGGAAAAGGTGGGACAAACTAAATTACCATGGATATAGTTAAATTATGGCGAGCACTATAGCCCCTCATACCCAGATGAACTAGTAACACTGCAAGCAATCCTTGCATAATGAAGATAACGAGTGAGTTCAATTGTTCAATCTAGTATATTTCAATTTGACATTTTGTGTTGCCAAAATTCGTACTAAACGCAGTATGCTGATTTTGCTGCCCTTGTTGAGAGCTGTATTAATTGGGAAACTATGAATTGATTGTTTATGAATAAAGGACTTTATTTTATAAAACTTGCCAAAATTCGATATTTCACTGTAGGCTATTGAAAAACAATGAAACCAACGTTAATACGTAGCACCAAACTTGATTTTAATTCTGCCTGTGTTTACCACCAAATTAATAATAATTATTTTTACTAATAGTCGATTAAATAAATATTTTGCACATTGTCATATGAAAATTGGTTTAAACTGCAGGTATCATACAAGGAGGGTTCACTATTTACGTTATGTGGAACTCCACAGTCACACAATTCCTCACTTAACGCCGTCATGAATGTAAGCAATTACAACAGTCAAGTGTCCACAGAATGCGTCACAACGGAGACGAGCGATTTCATCAGACAAATTGCTAGTAGGAAATTCAGCTGCGTCTTGATCCCATTAGCTATCACGGCCAGATCGGCACGTTCGCCTCTAAATAAGTGATTTAATGAACAAGATCGCTGTAGTTGGGTATACAGGTTAACAACGGCATTATGAACGGACCGGACCTCGTCGCACCAAGTGTGGTGGTGGCAGTGACGTATGTCGAACGGTACAGCATGAACCTCGTACTAGCAACTTGATACTACGACAGTAAATCATTCGATAGTAGATCTACTACAGTAGTTGACCAGTAGTGTAGGCCTACCTACCTTTTATCTTCTCTACCTTTACATTCCAGGACGCAATACTCCAGTCCAAATCAGTTTCACGAAGCATTATCAAGTATCTAAAGCAATTGGTGAATGTTGGGATTCAAACCCGAGACCCGAGGACTAAAGCCCTTCGGTATGCTACAAGCCAACTTCACTCCTCGCAGTGTACTAGCAATGCTTAAAATACTTACTTTGTACGGTCGCCATTTCATTGAAAAAGTATTAAAAAGTATTATTGTTTAGGGTTAAGTTAACAAAAATAACTACGTGAAACTTCAAAAAGATAATTTACTGACATGCTATCTACTTGTACTAGTGAGGGAATATTTGTGAGGCAATATAAAAAGTAGTAAGAGTATCATGGCATTTTTTGGGAGTATATACACATTACTCTTTTAGCAGCACACTAGCACCATAAGAACACTTTATTTACTGTGTTTAATTGCAGATTATTATGTATAATAAATTACTATTGAAACGTAAAACACCCTTGACATAATAAAAATTACGTTGAATAGCTAATGGTTTGCCACAATATTTTTTACTTTGTTCAATATTCGAATCCTTCTATAAAACAAGGCATTTTCATGAGTCTATTGAGATATGATCACAAACACAAAATCCACATAATTTTCTAGTAAATAACCTAAAGGCGAAGACATTGGACACACCTACCAAGTTAACACAAAAAGAAGTAATTGCTATTGGTCTAAGCTTCATGTTTATGTTTATAACGTATGCTCGTCACCATCGACAGGTGGGTCTATGCGATGATCTAAGTGAAGTGTCGTTACTGTATAAGCACTGCCAATTTAGTCAACGATATAAATCAAAAACGCAAGCCAATGGTGGCCGTAGTGATGACGATACAAAGTTACTGCAGCTAGCCAAACTTGGCCATCGTACTAGTTGAAAACTGCCATGCATCGATGTGCCATGATGTGGCTTAAAATATATAACCATAACTTAAATAATACCCAAGCGTTCTGTTATACCACAAATATAAGAAAATTTGACCTTGGTCTTGGTGGCAATCGTAGAACAATGTAGATTGTAGAACCAATTATAGAACCTGATATTACCGGAGCAATAAAATAGGAATAAAACGCGAAACACCAATGGCACACGGAAACCGAGGTACTCAAATAGTAAAAGTAGGAATTAGGGCGGAGCTGAGGTGAATGTCAGCATGCAAGGACGTGAGTATCACTGTCACGCTTGCGTAACAGCGTTTAACATCGTCAACGCGTTACAGCGTACAGGTGATGTGACCGCGTGGGCACGAGGGGTCGTCGGAACCACGTGGTCGAGCCGGCTATTGTAATTATGTCCTTTTTTATTGAATCAAATATGTCCATGCCTTGTCTGGGCTATGGACATGATTACCAGAGTAGGCGATTAACCGTTTTATGTTTGATTGAGGTCCTACAATCAGAATAGCTTATGTGTTTGTGTAGTTGACTTTGGATGTTTAATTAGAAGCATTGTCATTGTCTCAGGAGACTGAACAGTAATGTTCTTCTTAATACTGACTATGCGTAGTTGAAAATTTGTACTTTTTTAGTGGTTGTATTTTCAAAAAGATACACAAAATCTTAAACAATTTAAAACAAATTGGGGTTATCGTCTCACTTGCATACCATGAAGTCACTTCTGTCCTGGATAGGTTATGTAAAAGGAATAGATATAAAAACATGCAAGGTAAATTTATATGATCTTTAAAAACGAAGCATTGTCCCAGCAATCAAACCGATACATTTTTATGATGATCGCAAAACAATTTTGCGTAAAACTGATATTTTATAAAGGGAGTTGATCGGGAAGAATGCATTATTTTACTATTTAGTATTGATATAAATTTATGCTATGAATACGAGAAAAGCAAAGATGATTACAATATTTGTCTTCTTAAAAGTAATTTTTATATGAACGACGTATCATGAATAGCAGGTTGTGTTAACAGAAACGTGAAAGTAATTAGTTAAAAAAAACCTTCAAATATTTAGAAAAATATTAGATGGTCGTGAAACATATTTTGAGATAATACTGGAAAATGACATTGTGGTTAATGCAACAAACATCATTTTGCTCAAAAATGCTCACGCAAGTTCAAAGAGGCAACATTCAAAACATGTTATGTACATAGTTGGATTAATCAAAACTCGCAACCACCAGAACGATAAAATGATCTACTCTATCATAAGAAGTAAGAAAACATAGTACCAATCAGTAATAAAACTATTGAACCATTAAGTGCCTTTCTCACGAGAGTTGTAAGGCACGCTAATACAGTTTACTGCAGACAATGCCAACCACTAACATACCACACACATGATAAACACAATCGTATTCTCTATTATCCAATCAAGAGATAACCACAACGTCATTTTTAGCGAATTTCCCATAGGGAATAAGCTATTTATGCCTCTAGATGCATAAGCTACGTAAACGTAACCAACCATACTGCGCTAATTATAAACACCACCCTTTACTCATAATTTATATGAGATAAAACAAACGAATCGTCAATGAATTCCTAGCGGCATAAGCTACGTAAAAAGGCCAATAATCACACATATCAACCCCATATTGTGTGTCCGTGATAGGACCAAGATAAAACATAAACATAGTTTTACGCCAAAAGAAACAAGTTACGTAAAAAATACCCAGCATGAGTCAGTCATCGGAAGGTGGTTCAAAAAGTATGAGTCCAAGGCCCAGCTCCCAGAAAGGCCGTCGGCCAATCACGCAACGTGTCGCGCGTCGCACACCAATCAGAGGAACGCAGCGTCTGGTAGATGAAGCAGTCAACTTTTTACGCACCAGCACTCTCCGGTATACCAATTAAAAGGACAAATAGCTCATTTGTGAACAACCACTTTTTTACAACAATGTACAATTCTGTCTACATTGTTAAAGAGATTACTCATGATGTCTGAATGCCATGAGAAAACGTTTTAAGCAAGCAGAGAAATGTTAAGTTGTGTTTGACTATCTTAGACAATTAAGTGTCTTTATATGACTAACACGAGGGGAAAAATCACGTTGATTGGCTCTACAGAAAGATAAAGATCTAAGATCGTGTTCTCTTTGAAAATAAAGAACCGTTTATGCCCTTTAAAACTAAAAAATATACATTTTTTAGGGCACAGCTGTAAAAACTCAGTACAAAATCTTTGACTATTAATATCCAATAGTCAATAGTGAAATTTAATTGAGATACAAGGGAATATATTATTTAGATATTAAATTATTAGGGATTAAATTCTTTCAAAATGCATTAACGATTTTTAAATCATCAACTACACCGTTAATTTCACAATAATTAAAATAATAATTTAATTCATAACATAACACGGTATTGATTAACACAATAAATTACCTTCCAGCCAAACAGAATACATTATATATGGTTGAGTCAAAACATAACTGATAAAGATGAAATCTACGAATTTAGTAAACATATACATATATATAATGTAATTTAATTGTAAATTTTAAAGTACAAGGGCTAATAATAAATTTTTAATTTCACAAGCGCTTTCGAAAAACTATGTTTTTATCTTCGGGCTGTGTTGGAACTTAATAAACACAGCCTGAAGATAAAAACATAGTTTTCGAATGACTTGTGGAATTAAAAGCATTATTGTATATTGGCCTTTAGTACTTTAAAATTTAAAATTACATTACATTAGTTTTCCAATATATCCAATATAAATAATATTAAAACAAGATTAATTGGGAAACATAAATTTCAAAACGGTAAAATTAAAGGTTAAAATATACAGGGTGTTGAAAATGTCTGGAACCAGCATTATATCTGGTGAGTGGTTAAAGAAATACAACTGATATTTTGTGTACGGATATACTATGGTTTTACCTATCTTTTGGTGCCTTATGACATTTTTTACCACTTATAGGGAACGTCCTGTGGAGGATGCAGTAAAAAGTTTTAATGGAAGCCTATGGTACATGATACATCATTTTAAAGGCGATTTTTTTCTGAGTAAGGAGCCACAAGTTCCATCTCAAAAGGACCACCCTAGCGAAAATGGTGACTGTTGGAAGTTTTTGAAAATAATTGAATTTTAAATTTCAAACAGTCGCCATTTTTGCTAGGGTGGTCCTTTTGAGATGAAACTTGTGGCTCCTTACTCAGAAAAAAATGGCCTTTAAAATGATGTATCATTTACCATAGGCTTCCATTAAAACTTTTTACTGCATCCTCCACATGACGTTCCCTATAAGTGGGTTTTTAAATTTCAAACAGTCGCCATTTTTGCTAGGGTGGTCCTTTTGAGATGAAACTTGTGGCTCCTTACTCAGAAAAAATGGCCTTTAAAATGATGTATCATTTACCATAGGCTTCCATTAAAACTTTTTACTGCATCCTCTACGTGACGTTCCCTATAAGTGGTAAAAAATTCATAAGGCACCAAAAGATAGGTAAAACCATAGTATATCCGTATACAAAATATCAGTTGTTTTTCTTTAACCACTCACCAGATATAATGTTGGTTCCAGACATTTTCAACACCCTGTATATCTTTCACTGTGTTGAAGGGATATATCTTTTCACTGTTCTTCATTATAATCATGCCTTTACAAATTGAGCCAAAAATAACATTTAAGGATCTAGGTTTGGGTTCTATCTGTTATGGTATTTTAAATATTTAAAAATCTAAGAATATATTACATAAAAGTATAATTGATCATTTCAATCTAATCCAACGAAGGTCTTGGGCATAATGTCCAGTGAAAGAAGTTAGTAGGGATATGTTGTTAGAGACGATTGTGGGTAAGATATTATAGGCCGATAGTTTTAAAGGGAATATGCTAGGGGGTATGTTAAGAGCATGATGCTATAGGGGAAATTAAAAAGGATAGAAATTCAAGAAATTGAGAGATGTTATCAGGACGACATGAAAGGGAATATGGATGAGATTATTAAACGTATGAGAGTAGGGGAAAAATAGACAAGGTGAACACAATTATAAAAAGATTATTTTAAAAGGAGAATCAAAATAGAAAAATAAGAGGATGGCATTACAAGATTTAGAACATTTAGTTAAAGTCCATGCATAAAAGGGGACATTTTAACGATATAAGGTTAAAGAAAAGATGAGATGAGGGTGATGATGACTTCAAAGGGAATATAAAATAAAATTTTGTATTAAAACTTACTGAAAGATTTTAAGAACATATTTTAAGGGAACTACATACTATAAGAACAAAGATGTCAAGGAGAAATATATTAGGAGTAAGACGTTGAAGGAAGCATATTGATTATAGGTAGGAAATAGTTCCTAAAAAAAGTCCAACCACAAAAATATTATTGAGAAACTTTCAAATCTAAATTTATATCAAAATCTTTGTAAATAATAAGTTTGAATCGATTGGTCATTGTGAAGTGTGAAGTGTGCGGTACCGGATGGGCCGACATTGACCATGAGGGACTCGGGGGCGGCGCTAGACACTCCCCACTCAGGAGAAAGGCCCCCGGTCCCTCGGTACTATTTAAACTGACCCTTACAATCAGCCTGCACTCGTCAACAACCGTCATGGCTCTCCAGGTAAGCAGCTCAATACACAATACACTTGAAAGGGAATAGGGAAATAAGAGTTTTTTTAAACAACTAATTGAGTAAAAAATATTTTTGAGGATTAATGTTTTCTAGTGGTCATTTTCAATATTTTTTTTATAATCCAATTTATTGTTTAGATTTCATTTCTTCATCGAGTAATAAAATTTTGAAATTTTCGGTTTGCCTATTCTTAGAATTAAATTTCACAAACTGTAATACAAGCGTAAACAAAATATTTTGCTTGGTAAGGATTTTTTATATAATGTGTTACAGAGTATTTAAGGTTTTATTTCTTCATCTAGTAATGCAATGAAGCTTTTTAAGAATGCAACTTTGCCTGGTTTGACATTGAACTCAAGCATTCACAGAAAGTAGAAATCAACAAATTTCTTGATTTTGAATGTAATGTGTTACAAAATACCTAGTTCTCGTATTTCATATAACATTACAAAAAGACAAAAAGTATATTTTGGGATTTAAAAATATATAAAACCACAGCCTGTAATTTAAGATTATATGTAGAAAGATTCTTTAATGTGTTTACAACATTTTGTTAATATCTGCACTAAAATAGCAAGATTGTACTTTAAGAGTGTTTTAAGTAAATTGTTGACATTTGTGACTAAAAAGTAAATGTTAAAACTAATTATTAAAAGAATACTTTTTTATTAAAATTTATAGCAGGTATAGGTTTGTCCGTGACTGATATTTCAATGTAAACTTATCCAAACAGCATTGCCTGTATAAATATTATAAATATATTAAAATAAACTAATTTAACACTTCACACATTGTATTTATTATGCAGTAAAAAACATTGTACATGAATAAAAATACCTAACAAATATATGACACAAACCTAATTACGAAGTTTTTTTTTCAATAATACGATTTAATATACCATTTACATATTTTTCCAAAGAGCTGTAAACGTATCAATAGTAACATAACAACAGATCAATTTAAAATGAATAACTGTACATGGATTTGTAATAATGAACTGTAATTGAACCATGTATGGTCACCAAGACTAAAAGCTAACACATGACGCGATTTCCTTATTTATTTTGTTTGACGTCATATTGACTTGACATCGACCAACTTGTATTGTTCTTGATCTGGTTAGTTTTGTTCATAATTTTCAGCCATAACTCAGGGGAAATACTTATTTTCCAGGTAAAAATTATTACATGGTTGATTTTACAACATGATAAGAAGTTAAACCGTAGGTAAAATTAATTTGTTAGTAACTTGAACAATTGAATAACTAAAGGTGAAATAATTCTCCCTATTATTTTTTTCAATTTTGTTTTAATGTATGATATATTTTAATAACACTAATTCAACATCGTACAAAGGAAACTTTCAGATCTTGCGAACTTTTCGCATATATTCATAAGTAGTGACAATTTCCAATTCATTTGAAGTTTTGCTAATATAAATTATATCAGGATTGTAGTAAACTGTTTGTTAGATAATACTTGGAAAAATAGATTTTAATCAGTTTGAAATTTAACTATTTGAACTTAGGCCTGACTAGCGCATTTACATATTTGGGCCATTAAATATCTACTATTAGCACACGATATACTGTAGTATTATAAATCAATAGAACTAAAAAGTAATACAATTTCTAAAATCTCCTTTAGTATTATTATGATCTTTATTAAAAGATTCGATTGAGTGTAAGCAATGAAAGTAATACTATTATCATATTCATTATCATTATCAACTTGAGATGGAGACGCCACCTATAGTGTGAAATGGTCAGGGTTTAGTTTTAAAAAGACAAAACCTCCATCTGTTGGATCGGCTTGATTGTCAAAATTATTTAAATCGTTTTTATTTTTATTTTATCTGACTATTTTATTAACTAATTGGCTGAGGTAGCTTATAATAAATTAGGATGGGACAGTAGCCCACAACACACGTGTGAAACAATAATAGAATAAGAGTGGTGTAAGCTATTTACAATGGATATAGTACAGTTAGGATGTTGTAATTTTATTCATATATCTACAATAAGCAATAAGATATATCTGTATCGACAGTTAGGGGTTCCGCAATAGAGAGTTGGTCTTGACTCGGGTTTCCTGAACCGCCCTAATTGACCAATGCATATTTTCAAACGCCGATTCGATTGTCAGGGAAGTCTACATATAATGTATCAGGTGTCATTGTTCCATTGTCACATAACCTTGTATTGTTTCAGGTCGCTCTGTTCGCCGCCTTTGTCGCCGCCGCCAGCGCCGGGTACGTCCCCGTGTACGCCCCCGCCCCCGCACCGGTCTACCACGCCCCCGCCCCCGTCTACAAGGTCGCCGCCCCCGTCTACCACGCTCCTGCCCCCGTCTACCACGCACCCGTCGCCTACGCACACCCAGCACCCGCTCCCGAGCCCTACGACCCTCACCCTAAGTACGCCTTCGAATACGGCGTCCACGACCCTCACACCGGGGACGTCAAGAGCCAGAAGGAGGAGCGCGACGGAGACGTCGTCCATGGATCCTACAGCCTGGTTGAAGCCGACGGTTCCAAGCGTGTCGTCCACTACACCGCTGACCCCCACAACGGGTTCAACGCCGTCGTCTCCAAGGAACCCCTCGCACACCCTGCCCCCGCCCCGGTGGTTAAATACGCCCCTGTAGCACCCGCCTACCCTGCTTACCATTAGAATCAACCCACCTAGTACAACAAATTGCCAACTCAAACTACCTGTAGTAAATGTTATTTTGTAAATAAATTATACTTAATAGTGTACGACGGTTTTTCATTACCAAAATCTCCTATGGATTTCACTAATTTATAATAATGATATAGAGCACTGAACATATCAACCAGAAGTTTTAATTGCTCAAAATACTTTGAATATTTATAAAATGGTAAGCTCATAAGGTTATATTTTTGGCTCCAATAAGTCAATGCAACATCTTCATATGGGACATTGCATACTTTTGTTAAAGTTACAAACAAAATGTAATCGTACTCAATTTTTTCTTAGCACTGAACATAACTACTGTGCTTCACTTTTGGGTAACAAAAGCTGTCCAGTTGAAAAGTGATTCCACACAAAGGGCGGGGAAAGAGAAGTGAACGTAACTTGGTTTCAGGTCGTTCGTCGCGGCACAAGGATACAGATTGCTATCTCTTCACGTTCTTCGTCCTCGCCCACTGGAACCCTTCTGCAAATCCTGGTTCAGTTGATTCCAGAATTAAGCTATCGTGTTTTGTAAATAGATCTATGTTCGCAAAAAAAGATGCGTGAGTCTTCTAAAAACCTTCCCAACACTGAGTAGAAACACCATATCTCTGGAAGTGTTCAACTGCATTTATAAAAATATAAACAATCGTGAACATGACCTTTATAAACTTGGGCGTAGTTTCTTTTAGTAAACAACTTTGCTCTGTAGAACGTGCTTGTTTATTTTTTCCCATCGACAGAAAAATGAAAAATACATAAGCCGACGTTTTCTAGAAAATTCAACTTACCTAGTAACAATTAATCTTTAGATTTGCACTCGGTCCAATGCCTCTTATCATCCTTATAAGCACTAGTGTTGGCAGATTAGATGAGATTTACGCCTGAGTGCCTGAATGTGTATTTTAAGGCAAAATTACTTAAGGAAAAGAGTTGAATGAATGATTAAAGATTATAGCTTTGCTACTGACAAAGATCAGCTAGGGCCATTTATGAAGCCCCGAATGATAAAAACTCACAGGTCTGGTTCCGAACCATCAAAAATCTACTCATTTCATCCATCCAAATCCTAAATTGTTTTGATTCAATCACTCATGACTTTGTCTTAGGAGAATTCGAAGAGATCCAACCCCTGTGATCAAGATGGTCATCTAGGTCGACCACATACCTTCCCTTGTAGAGCGTGGTGACCAGAAGACTAGAAGACCACTAGACCTAGACTGGGTACACGGTCGTCATCAACTTGCGACACCTGGACCACGCCTATCGTTCGTCATATCACCATCACTGTGTTAGTGTAACAGGTTATACAACGGTGATCAACTGGCAAAGTGGAGGACGCAACAATGTTTATACCTCCGTCAAGTATAACATGTGTGTTTCACCACAAGCACAGCAGCCACTAGCAGTTTTGTGTTTTAGTGATGAATTTGTGAAAAATTGTAGATTTTCTAAAGGATTGGACAACGTGAAGAATATTACTCGTCGACGTAATTCCTTGCAAAAAATATATGAAAAATCCGTGTCACCAAGAATAACGTTTACAGAATTTAATAAAACTAAATGCACAATTTTAAAACCACGACATAAGCATTTCTGTATCATTATAACTTGTCAGATAGCGGCGCCACTTTTATTGGGGAATTTGTTAAGTGAATACTGTACACCGATCCCTCTTGTTTGACAGCTACATTAATTTTTAGTGAGCTATGTTTATTGGACTACAGTTTCATATCTGGATCCGTGCTCAAATCGTCTGGAAACCGCCCGAGTCTTGTGTAAAAGTAGACATACATATTACATATACCTGTAGTTAACATAACATAATCGGAATAGAGCTGTAAGTTAATTACTGCTGCATATTATTTTTTTGCGATAAAAAAATAATACGAATTTTAGAATGTAAGGTTAAAGTAAAAAATAAATTTACCAAGGGCAAGTTATTAAGCGTTATGCTAATTGAAATTGCTTTTGAGGGCGACAGAGAAACTGCGCACTAAGCTAGATTTTAAATTTAAAAAATCCGCTTGCGCCTTGTCCATGAACCCTTAAATAAATTTCAACTTCTATAACTTTTCTATTGCGAAAAGAAGAGATTAATTAAAAAATCCCGTGGGCAATTGTGATATTAACTAACTCATACATAAGATTCATATTTACGAAAAAATTTACTTTTATGATTAAAAAAGTAACTCTGAGCCGCCTTTTCTTAAGTTTACGGCATTTTTCGTATCAATGCTTCAAATTGATCCTCCAACTTTCATAGTTCAAGTCGCTAAATTAAATATTTGATACACTTATGTACGATTTAAAAAAGTCTGTGTTCATTACCTTGATTGAGGATTCATAAGTGACTGTGCAGCAAAAACCCATACTTTTAATGTTTTAATCGAACGGAACATCGCGGAAAGTGGCTATATACCGACCCGGAAGTACTGATTGTTACTTGCAATATATCCTCAGATATGCAAGTTGGCCGGGTCAGAGATAACATATGGCGATAACAGGGAGATTGTTGGAGCCTGAGTGTGGTGCACGACTAGGCATTCGGTGAACCGCGACGACCACCATGGGCAGTGCGGTGCGGGCTAAGTTTACCACGGGCATTTGTATGGAGAATAATATAGAGGATCGCGTCTAGGAATTCAGTACAAGGATTGTTTCGCTAGCACGGTTAATGTAATTTATCCATAGGTAAATCGGCTCACAGAAGTCGCAATAGCTTTAATTGTCGAGACAGTTACTTTTAGGGAACATGCGGGGAACACTTTGTTACCTTACATAACAGTATATTACAAACAATAACTGGGGACTTTAGTAAATATAGTGCTCGCTTAGTAATCAGGTCATGTGTGATCAATCCTGAGAAAAATCAGTAGCTGTTTTTAAATTTGACCAGTAGAATACTACAAACTATACGCCTACTGTACTCAGTCGTTGCGTTGTGTACAGCTGTACCTGATCATTAGGTTTTTGATAACTGACCCACCTGATAATGAACCACATGACTAGTCAGTACCAAAGCTGTCTTTGTCTTTATTCAAAACACGCTATTCATCTTCGCCTTAAATACGCACCCAGGTGCGATGGCGTGGTGATAATCTAATCTAGTTTGACAAAACTTTTGCTAAGACGTATTATTTTTGCATTGTGTTCCTAGGTTTCACAAATACAATAACGGAGACCACCGTACATTGTGCAGACGTTGGCACGATGCTACAACGATTGCCTGCAGCAGTTAGTGGATGGGAAAGACTCGAGAGTCATCAGTTTAGAACTCCGAACACCATAATTCTTCTTACCAGTGTGCATCATCAAAAGTCGAAGTACATTATACTACTCGGAACAATCTACAGGGCGTTAACCTTAAACAAATATTTAATGGGGGTTTCAACACACCCAGATTACACAATTCTAAAAACGAACTATTATTACCCTCTAAATGACCGTGAACCTGGAATGGATTAACTCTGACAGTCGCACGGCCTTGGCCTTGCCCGCCACAGACAGGCAGACAGCTGAGAGGCGGCGCGACGCCTAGGGCGGTCTACACTCCAAAGGCTGTGCGAGGCGCTACTGGACGCTGGGCGACCTTGACCGTCACATCAACCTTGCGCCTTTCTCCGTCACTTTCGCCGTCAGTCGTCAGCCGCGCATTACGTCACTGGCACGGACCCACTGGCACACTGCGCCTGCTTCTGCTTACTTCACTGCGTCGCTGCGTACTGCACTGCGCATGCGTACTGCACTGCGTCGCTGCGTACTGCACTGCGTCGCTGCGTACTGCACTGCGTCGCTGCGTACTGCACTGCGTCGCTGCGTACTGCACTGCGTCGCTGCGTACTGCACTGCGTCGCTGTATGGGATTTTTCTAGGTTTAGAGGGTCGCGAAATCACCATTAGCTATAAGCCATAGGTGGCAGAACTTGAACCCGGGACTTTTGGGACCGAAGACTATACCACTAGAAATACCTCCCCGCTATGGTATACTACGTCAAGCATCGTATTGTGGCAAATCAAATCAAAATCAAAATCAAATCAAAATCAAATCAAAATCTGCTTTATTTCCACAAAAAATTACAATATATACATATACAAAATACGAACAATAGTCCCGCATAGGCCGTAAAAGACCTGTGCGCGGGACGAGCTCTATTACAAATTAGAAATATTCTTAAAAATTTAAAACTAAATTAATCAAAATACTATTTACAACTAAGCTTGAGACAGCTACAGGAACAGTTAATGCTAAATAAAATGTAGTCGAGTGAATGGAGTTGCAGTTACTGATATATGTACGCTAAATATTGTTTGGTGTACTTGTGTATAATTATTGTTAGGTATTGTATACTGAACCGATAAGTGTCTCAGACTGATCGAGCCCAATCTCCGATAGCCAACTGCTTACCGAATGTTTATAAACTGGAAGAGATACCTGTAGATCTCTAATCTCTGATGGTATATTCCTATACAAAAAATTCGCAATATAAAAAGCATTGGTAAGGTTTACAGACTTGAAAACTCGGGGTACCTGCATACCTACATTTACAGCTCCTCTGGTGGAATAGTTATGTGTGATTGGCGTCACTATCAAATCTTGATTAGAGTAGGTATATACAAGTAAAGTTTTGATAAAAAGTTGACGCACCGAAAGTAATTGAGTGTTTTTGAATAATACATTTGTAGGGAAACGCCTGTTGAATTGAAAAGCCATTTTAATAATTAGTTTTTGTATGACAAAAATATTGCTACTAGCTCCTCCCCATACTATAATTCCATATTGAAGTACTGATTGGACAAATGCATAGTATAACATTTTTATTTCATTAATGTTAAGAATTTCGCGAACTATTCTAAAAACATAAATTAATTTCCTAAGTTTTGTCTTTAAATATTCAATATGGGGTTCCCATCTTAACCTACTATCCAATATCACTCCCAAGTACTTGTTATGATATACTCTCTCCAAACGTAAACAACCACAGGTAGAGACACCTGGATCTCCAGAATACACACACAGAATACATTTGCAAAACTAGTCCATTGCAAAATTAAATCCTCAGTTTTAACCAATTAAATGCCAAAGGAGGTCTTAACGATCTCCTCTACTACCTAATTCCACTCTACATAGGTGTTTGCTTCTTAAGTGTTGCCCCTAAAACTGTGTAACTTAGAGTTCAATTAAATACAACTAACAATAAATTACCTTAGGTATAAATGTAAAACAAAAACAACCTTGATATATTCTGATATTCACCAGCACACACCTATTGACAGGGCCTATGAAGGAGTCTAAAGACAATTTAAATTTAGAGGTAAAACCACTTTCGATTGCTGTTATTTATAGAGCTAAATTAAAAAGTGATCTTGTAACCAATCCAAATTACAGCTATGGTCAGTTCAGCCTTACAAGTGCTATGTTATGAAATTGGCAATGTTTTATATATATTAAATGATCTTTCGTTGTACATTTTAATTACGCTAATTCATTATTTTAATTGTTCGATAAAGTTTGAGTATATTTTTATCCCAGAACACCCCTTTTCCTCAGATGTTTCTTCCGATTTCACCACATTGCATATCATACTCAATCTCACTGCATGCGACATGCATTGTAACTAGTGCATAATGATGGAGTAAATACACCTCTGACTGAATATCTATGTGTAATATTACAAAAACTGTACGCAGTGTCGCCACTCCAGTTCTTGCACCTGGTGCAACCGAAGCTCTGGCTAGTGACATTTTGAGGTCACTCACACTGAATAATTATCAATCAATCGACCATTGCCGCCACATGAATATCAAATGGCGATTTCTCTTGCAAAACCTGGTATCAGAGCACGTTTTAATCTAAATACGAGTCATTGGAGAGTAAAAAGATACCGTAAAATATTATTCAAATATATTTTAGATATCGAACTCATATTTATAGCAGAGTTTGCATAATGAATAAATAATTATAATACTGTATCCTTGACCCCCGAGAATACTGAGAAATGAAACTCACTCGTTTACAAAAATAATGGGAAAGACAAGATTAACTGTTAAAAATGAATATCCATCACTCGGTAAAGACGTTATTGCAAAATAAACTTGAAAACCCCCCACATCTTGTAGAGAAAGGATGGTGGAAGCAACAATTTGTGGACTTTAAATTATATATCACTTCCTAATTCAAAAATAAAATTATCAATTTTAAACATACAAATTAGAACGAAAAAGTAACAGATACATTTCAAACAAGTTACGACATTGCACACAACGTGCACTAATGATGAAAAATGTTTAAGATAAATGGCAAATCCCATTAGCACTGTATCAGCCGTTATCGAATGAAAGGTTAACTTCTCCTCAGTGGCTGAAAAGTTGCATTATTTGTACCTATCAAGTATGCTAATACACCGTATCAAGTCACGTGACCTATCAGCTGATCGCCATATCAGCTGACTTTCCTTCACCAGCCACGTGACGGTGTGCAGGTGACAACGCCTCAACAATGTCTGGATGCTGTAGCAGGTGTTATCAGATGACTTAAAACGTCACCTTGCCTATCCCTATCAGCCGACGTTCTTTCTGACGTTGTGGCACGCAATCAATACAACGTCATATGATCTATCAGCTGATCAGCTGATCGCACCAGCCATGTGACGGTGTGCAGGTCACATGGTGTCGTCACAGTGAGGTGGTCAGTAGCGGACAGGACCACGCCTTACTGCCGTTTACTCCCATTACTCCTGTTTGTTCGCCATTATCTAACCTGCAGTTACAACTAACGGACATTACACAGTCCTCCCACCATTAAAGGTTTCTTTCCTGGCGACACTGATCTGAAATACTGTTGAGCTTATCCAGGTCTACTCTTGATTGTCCATGTTGAAAGTGTCATGGTTATAAAGAATTAGAATTCAAACGTACTTCAAATACAGTTATTCTAATTTAAGGTGTCCTTGGATGTTACCAATTAAACATATCTAAGATGTTACTAAATCAATGTAGTGACTGGAAATCGCTAGAATGCGGTACCAAGGCGTGAACAGGTTAACAATGCAAATTGTTACGCGAAATGTGGGTTGTAACTTTATGTTTAAAATGGCCTCAAAATAGCAAGACTTGTGGTACATTCTCCTCATCCAATGACGCCGAACGGTCGAACCCACGGGCACCCAGCTGTTGTAGTCCACTGTATAGAGATTGGCAAATGCTTTGATGCAAGATATAACTGCAATATAACATTGTGGTCCATAAAACATTATATAATTCATTAGGTTGCATCAACTTTACAGAAACGTAAACCACGAGGAGATAGTTGTTAAGTTACGTATTTGATAAAGTGTTGTATGACATAGGAGTTATATTTAATCTTAGATAAATGATAACTTTAATACTCACAGTCTGAAAGTAACTTTTCCACTGACCTGAAACAAGATATTATTTGTTAAAAAGGTTAAATTCAGCCTGAATAAAACTTAATGATTATTCACTAAAATTTACTACGAAAGGCCTCGCTAATAATATTTTAGTAGCAAAACAATACAATAGACCGAATAGTTCAATAAAATCATTGCTAAATTTGTTTATTCCGTTGATTGTTTTTACAGAAGAAAGTTGTATAGAGCAACGTATAGGATGGATATTATGTATGGATAATACGAGTCTATTATATGCAAAAATTAGATATCATTAAGTAAACTGGCTCTACCTGTTCTCGCTAAAACATTATATTTCTTTAACTAATGGCATTTCATTAACTATTGCAATTCTATTCAATTTGGCGCATAAAACAAGTTAACAAATGATCATGCTTATGCAGTTTAAAAACAAATAATGATTCATCAATTAATACAAAGAGTTATAACAAGTACATGTTTAAGGTATTTTTTTAGGTTATTGTTGATCTAAGTTTAAACATAAAATGTCTAATTAAACGCTACTAATTGTGAAATTCCCTTACTATCTTTTGGGACTTTTCAGAATACTGTATTAAGTTCAAAATTCATCTAGGCTACACCATTTTATTCGTTTGTAAATTGAATAATCCCTTTTCCGTGCCCAAAAACTACCCAATTGAATAATTATTATTAACAATTACATTATGGAAGCAAACTTTACAGCCAGCTCGATGCATGAGAACTCTGTTCTCTTGAAACTAGGATATAACCCTGGTTATCGCTAGTAAACTTTCGTTATGTATTATAGAGCTTAACATTAAACTGTTTATGGCGGTTGTTCACAGTTTCGCAAGGAAACTTATTATGTCGCTGATAAAGGTGAATGTATACAGTAGCACCCTGAATTCGACCTTCGTCACAGAAAATACTGTTGTACTAAGAACGTGTGTTATAATTTATTAATGTCGGTGCTTCCGTCAGAAGTTCAGATATCAATGGCGTTTTATAAATTTCCCTGAAAGAGTAAATACATTTGGGATGGTTGAAGTTTTCAACCGCGAGACATAACAATTTGGAGAAAAATATCAATCTGGTTTAGTTGTGTTTGGTGTGGTAATGACTTAAAAGTATCTTGTCGATTACGTGTTTCCTTTATAAGGCCTATATTTTAATATACAAATGAACATCCAGCATAAAATAACATCGAATTTACTAGCAGTTCCTTGCTGCTAGGAGGAACATATAAGGTACTGTACATGTTTATGGTAAACATAGAAATAGAAACTAAACTAATTCTCTGAAGATGTATTGGCAAACGTGCAATATACAATAATTAAATTATTCTCAACAAGGAAATGTTATTATCTTCAATATCAAATAGGCCACATGTAAAAATTCTTGGGGATACAATTCGTGTTCAAATGTATGCTGATATTCCAATCAATTTGTATTTTTGGCCTTCTTTAAAAAAATCCACAACTGAATCATGTTCGTCAGTCACCTCACCACTGCTTCAGGAGGAAATTTGACATGCCTATTCCATTATCCCATACTAATTTTAATAAAAACCAGCCATTCGCCATCTGTATCCATCTATTTTTACTCTACCTGATCCAATTAGGAGTGAAAATTATTATACAACTTTAAGCCAGACTTGAAGGATTATTTAGTTCATAACGAATCCTTAAGTATTTCTTGCTTTTTAAATATAAATAGTAAATAGTATAAATAGTAGCTTTAGAAGCGTGTATTTTTAGTTTTAACGGGGTTTATCTATATTGATAAAATCCAATGTATGTTTGTCTGTTTGTTTGTCCTTTATGGACTCCGAAACCGCTCTACAGATTGTAATGAAACTTTCAGGCATTATTAAGCACTATTCAAGGATGGTTTATGTGAAGTTTGGTGCAGATCCGTCTAAAGGGCTCCACCCCAGTGGCTCTGAAATTTCCCATGTTAACCTTATGAGTGGAACCTCATATTTAAGTGGAATTAAAGAATCTTAACAGCTGGTTCAACTAAACAATTTTATTGTGTGATGTTCGATACCATTAAAAAGTTAATAGGTTTACCAACAGGGTGCAGCACTATTATTATAAAGGCAAGTGAGCTCAGCGAACGAGCTCCAACCTAAAGGTGATTGAGCGTAGCGAACGAACTTCAACCAGGACGTGATTGAGCCATGCGAACGAGCTCATCTGGAAAATGAACGTGCATTTGACATAAAACCACATTAGGACAGGACGACGTCCGGCTAGCTTATCATAATTATCATATTATTGAGATCATTTAATCCATAAACGAATCCATCACCTACGAAGAGCATATCCGTGGATACTCCACTGCTTGTCCAGCTGGTGTACATCCGAGGATAATTTATGTGGTTTCCTTTTTTTCGACAGAGCTTTTTATTATAATTCTCTTCTTGAAGGAGGACGAGAAGAATTTCGTACAGCTTTGATCTAGTAGATGTCCAGCAGGTTGCCCAATAATGTAGTGACTTCTGGACCGCTGATATCCACGGATACTCGACTGGTTGTCCAGCAGGTGGATATCCAGGGGGTGGTGGGCGTATCCCGGCGGAGGAGGAGGGCGTTGTCGGTGAAAGATTATGTTAGGGGCTGCCGTAGCCTCTGTCTGCTCTATTTAAACTGATGAGGACCTCAACACCACCAGTACCACATCGTCTCTCCCTCACACACCATACCATGGCTCTCAAGGTAATGCTTGTTATGATTTTAAAACTTCAATTTGGTTACAAAAATAGATTTTTTAAATTTTCAATGAATAAACTTAAGCTTCAAATTTTTTGCATATATGCTTTATATTACACGATATTTAATGAGAATCCACTAAATAGTAAGCAGTTAATATATTGCCATTGACTATTAGTCAAAGATATAACACACAACGCCAATTTATTGTACTAGCTAGACAGATTTCAGCCTTTTCTATTTAAAATAAGTTGACTGTCAGGTTTATGATAAATAAAATGTATTGATTTGTATTCCTTAATGTAATTGAGCTGCGAATAATAATTAATTTAGAACAATACATTGGATACAGTACAAAAATACAAATACTAGGGTTGCTTTCAGAGAGGTGAAAGCCAGTTGAGCGGAACAAACGTGATTTGATATTTGTATAAATGTAAAAAAAGTCAATAGATGTACTAATGCTGGTTTTATTGATTAAAATTATGATAATTCAATAATTCAATTACAATAATTTTTTTTTACTACATCTTGTTATTCAGATACCTCTTCCAAAAGTGCATTATGGTAGTTTTGACCAGGAAAATATTATCAGTTTATTTGGTGCAACACAAATAAACAACCTATAACCTACACTTTACCTCCCTGATCTAACCTTACTTCAAAACACTTAATGTAGTCACGAATACTCATAAACCCCGACCTACCTTCCCCACATGCCTAAATTAGATCAGTGTTCAATCTGCGTTTTATTAATAAGTGTAATAACTTACTGCACCGTAGATGTAATTCAACATAATATAACCTGTGATGTATTATCAGATTAAATATCGATTTCGATTCGGTTCAATATATCGCTTATTAAATCCTGATTTCTAACATTGGCTGTTTCTAATCAGCTGGCAACTCAAATAGGTTCCCAAGAAAGTAGTCACTGGTCCGTATCCCTCCGCTCCTTGCTTATGCTCCGCGCATTGAGAAAGTAGTTCCGTATATTTTCTCGATTTTCAGTTAATTCCGCGCCTTAAAAAAATGTTTTAACGGCATTTTCTTGTTTATTGAAATCATAGGAATGGTTTAAAAACGTCTAAAAGAAAAGTCTAGAAAGTTCAGAAATACCTTATGATTCTCTTGTTTACATTTGTCTTGTAAACAAAAAACTGTCATATGGCTACTTTAGTCCCATAAGCCTAATGTTAAAATTTGGAAATTTTAAGTTCGTTTTAAATTGCATTAGCATTATCTAATTGAATTTTTTTTATTTATTAACCATCTCACTATTAGTCTAAGTAATCTTGTTAAGTTTAGCTGAAATGTGTTCTGCCGTTATTGAGTGATGTTGCTTTATTTGTTGCATTGAAGTTGATCCCAAAGAGCTACGCTCAACAATACACATGATAACAATAATAATTTATGGAGAAAAAATCAAAACCATCAACAATTGATTAGTTGGCTATTAATATATTAAAATAATATTTTTATTAAATCGATAAAAAAAGTGTTAGTAAAATGTGTTAATCTACAGCTCCTTTTTTATCATTAGATAACATTTCAGAATAACGTAGCTAAAACGTTTTAAATGCGATAATTAAACTTCTGAAATAGTCACCCTCATTAAACCCATCCTTTTATATATAAACAGGTTGGGAAGGGTGGTTCTAACACTATACTTCAAATAATTTACTATCAAAGGAAAGTCAAATCCTTAAAATAATACGGAACCATTTATATTTATCACACCACTTAACTGTGAACGTATGTCAAAAACGTCAGAGTCAAATGTAACACACTATACATATCACCTATGAAAGTAGAACCAGCAGAAGGAAAGAAACTTTTAATTTGATCACTCAATAATCTAGGGCCTAAGCTAGTATAGAGGTAGTGTAGAAACGTGAAAAAAATGTTAAATAATACTGCAGTTTTTTTTTTAGCTAAATTTTAAATAAAAGGACATTTTTAAACATTGTTTTTAGTTTTTGCACACATTTAGGATGTGTAAAAATTGTGAAACGCTACATTAATTATGTTTGACATAAAACCATTCTAACCTTAGAATCACTAATGTCTCTTTAAATCACTGTAGTTTTGAGTCAACGTCAACAACAAATAACTAGGGTATATCCTTAACATGTGTTTAAGACATGTAGTTAGTGCTTTTGACAAATTGTATTTACAATTTTTCAAAAGCACTAACTACTGCAAATTTTTACTAGTACGAGTATGCAACTACAAATTAGTATCATAATATATGAATGGGTTGGTTGTGGGATGATATTTAAAATGTGGAATGAATATAGTTTTCTGGTTTTATAGTTGTTCGTGTTCGCCGTCTGCATGGCAGTAGCCCAGGCTGTCTATGCCCCAGCCGCCGTCTCCTACTCTGCCCCCGCCATCCGCGCCAAGCCTTACGCTCCCGCCTACGCCCCTGCCTACACCCCCAGAGTATACGCTCCAGCCCCCATCTACCACGCACCCCTACCAGTTGTCAAATACGCCCCAGCGCCAGTATACCACGCCGCCCCTGCTTACCACGCAGCCCCAGAGCCTTACGACCCCCACCCACAGTACAACTTCGAGTACGCCGTCCACGACGCTCACACCGGTGACGTCAAGAGCCAGCACGAGAGTCGCGACGGAGACGTCGTCCACGGATCCTACAGCCTGGTCGAGCCTGACGGTTCCAAGAGGATAGTAGACTACACCGCTGACCCCCACAACGGATTTAACGCCGTCGTCCACAAGGAGGCTGGAGCTCACCCCGCCCCCGTGGTCAAGTACTCCCCCGCCGTCCCCGCCTATCCTTACCATGGATAAACCGACCCCACCTCACCTTGTACATACTGAGAGCCATGTAAATAAATTTGTTTTATAGATTTAATTCTGTCTTGACACTTGTTTTAAGATGGGAACATAACCTATGTATGAAAAAAAGTGTGGGATGATTGATTGATGGACCAGCTATTTCTTTAACTTGGATTGTTAAGTTACTGAAAGAGCACATGACCTTTAGTTCTGCCAATCGGACAAAACGTGCATGAGAGAAGTAAGATGATTTCGGTAGCCTTGTAACTATTATGATGAACTATTATGATCAAGACCGTATTGTGATTCCTTATAGGGAGAGGCCGTAAGATAAGTTGATGCACACAGTGTGAGAGTCTTTAGAGACTAGCCTGGGAACATAAGTCAACCACACAACCCTAGGTTCGAGGACATTTACACAATCCAATATCCTTTAGCCCTTAAAATAATAAAAATAACTAATAATTGATTAGAAATCCCTTATGGTTTCGAACCAGCAAAACGCATTTCTTAAACTAACTGATGATAGTTAGAAAAGTTCTTCTTCTAACTGTATATCTCGGAGATACACTCTGACTCGGTATTTGATTGAAAGCCACAAATGGTGATAATATTTGAGGTGAGCAATGGCTTGTATTATACTCCTATACCTGATAGCGTGCGATTGTAGCAATCCTATATATTAATAGACAAGCATGTTTCTTGAAAACTTTTTTCTTGGCTCGTGTGCATCGCAGTGAAAATCTACGCATACCTGCTGTTAGAAAGATATTTCCTGTACAGCTGCAGAATCCCATTATAAATTAAAATAGGATCAAAAATAAGGACAAAAAACAAATTTAAAATTAAACAAAAATGTATATGGGCCTTATGGGTTGCTATGCTGGTGACGAAATAACAACGAAATATAAACAGAAAATCAAAACAAATGGAAGAAATCCCAATCACGTGTTTTATTTACAGCTTAGGGTGAAAATAGAAAAGTCTGTACATTACGCATTTTTGGTCGAGCTCGACGATATATATCGTTGGTCGAGCGCCTACTGGACGACCTCTAGTGGGCATTAACCCATTCAAATAACATTAACATTCAAATGGTATTAATCTACAAATCCTTGCTGAGGATTGCGTTTCTATATTTATTTGTTTTGCCTTTATGTTCTGATAACCTTGCTATAATACTTAAAAATGCTTATCTATAAATAAATAAACAAAACAGGAGATAAAACATAGTCTAAAATGTTTCATATCATTACAAAAATGTAACTAGTTGTTTTGTCCGTGCTTTGCAACGGCGCAAGATAGGCCACTTAAGATAATAATGGATGTCTCCAATCTACCGTATAAAAACCTACCATGCAATTTATACAGGCAAATCTCATTTTAATGAAAAAGTGTGGCAGAATAAAAATTAATAACTTTATCGTTATGCAAACATATTATTGATTACCAAAAGACTGATTTAGGGCAAAAGTAAACAAACAAACAAATTAAAAATAAATCTTATATCTGGTGCATTTTCAATCCTAAACTCTTGCTCTGAGCAAAACCGAGATCGTGATTTTGACAAAAAACGGATTGACACCATCGTGCCGTTGAGGGTGGGAGCCGTCGAGGTTCAAACTGTTCGTTCTGCCAAGTATCTTGGGGTCATGGTAGACAGCAAGCTTAGCTGGCGGGATCAGATCTTCCGAACAGCGGACAAGGCCGCTAGGGTGGTTTCTTCTCTTAGCCGGTTGATGGCCAATTTCGGAGGGCTTCGGTCCAGTCGTAGAAGGCTGTTAATGTCTTCGGTCCAGTCCGTACTCTTGTACGGTGCGGAGGTGTGGGCAGACGCACTAAATAAGGAGGCATACAGGATGCGGCTCGCCCGAGTGCAGCGTCAGGCAGCACTGAGGGTAGCATCTGCCTACCGAACAGTGTCCGAGCCCGCCGTCCTGGTGATTGCTGGAGTCATCCCCGTCAAACTTTTGGCGGCGGAGAGAAAGGCAATTTACCGGCGCCGTGGAGAGGACGAGGCACGAACAGAGGAACGCACCCGCACCTACCAGCTGTGGCAGGAGGGCTGGGAACAGGAGACACGGGGACTCTGGACCAGGCGACTGATACAGCAAGTCCAACCTTGGGTTGATCGGCGGTACGGAGAGGTGGACTTTTACCTCACCCAATTTCTGACGGGACACGGCTTTTTCCGGTCGTACCTGTTCAGGATGGGCAAAGCCGTGTCTCCCGACTGCATATACTGCCCAGGCATTCTCGATGACGTGGAACATACATTTTTCCACTGCCAGCGCTGGGAAAGGCCCCGCCTGGAGGCTCAACAGTTAATAGGACTGCTGTCGGTGGACACGGTCATACCGATTATGACGGAGGGTGAGGACAATTGGACCTGTGTGTCACATTATATCCAGGGTATCCTCCGCGCCAAGAAGATCGACCTTGACCGGGATGCGGTGTAGGTCATAAAGAATCAAAATGCCAGAAACGGTGCGATCCCTGAGGTCTTAGGTCACATGTTGGCCTGACTTGAAGTAATGTGACAAACAATTCCAGGTCTGTGTCCAACAGAGTAGAGGGGGTTTTTTAGTGAGTAGTCTGATAATTTCAGGAGTCTCACACTACAGGCTGGCTACCTGTGTGCGTAAAAGCATTTTCCCTCCTCTCCCTAAAAAAAAAAAAAAAAAAATCCTAAACTCTTATGTGAGCAATGTATGCTTGCACAAAGATCTCTAAAACGGGTTCGACGATTTCCTTCAAAAGTTGTAAATAATTTATTTCTGGCAAAAACGTGATTGACGACAGCCATTCCCTCAGGAAAATTCGTATTTCGCTACACAGCTTATTTGAACATTTGCCTTATGGGTTGCCAAGTTGAACAAAATAACATGGAAAAATTAAATAATGTGAGGTTATTAACATGTGTTTATAACGAGCCATCCACGGTATACTACAGGCAAATTACGATAAAACAGTACAAAGGGAAAACATCAGTCAACAGACAACTTCTACGAGTGTCGTAAAGGCTTACGCCAATTAATTACTAAAACCACTAATCATAACTTATAAGAGAGGTTATATTTTCGTGTATAACCTCTCATTTCCACTGATTGTGATGCAACGACTTATTGTCCCAACCATTCACTCATTGTTATACAATTAAATTGGCCTTAACACCTGATAAGTTGACGTTCAAACTATTACAATTTTACTTTTTTCTCTCTCAATTCTTGGACCTCAGCGCTCAAAGCTAGTACTGTAAAGTAACGAAACAGTAATGTAAGGTAACAAAACAATAATGTAAAGTAAGTAAACAATACCGTAAAGTGAATTCTACTATTAATCTAAGAGCTGAATTGAAAAGGATAGTTTAAAAAACGGTCGTAAGTAATGATATATTTTATCACTAGGGTGACCCGTTTCGACGCGAGTTCAAGTTTTATAATCGAGGCGATCAGATTGATTGTATTTTGAGTGGTATGCCGTTGACACAAAATATGTATTCCTTTTTATTCAAACAGTTTTCACTCGATTCTGTACGAATTTCACATTAAATAAAAAGGATAAGTAATATAAGAAGGCCTAGTAAAATCTGACCGACTGTTTTACAACACCACGTATCTTAAAGACGTATAACAGTCAAACTAAAATCATGACGGTGTAAAACAAACAGTATCTGAAATGTTTACACGGTTTGGATTAGGACGTCGATAAAAAGTTAAGGAGAGTGAATCAGAAAAATAAAATAAAACATTCTAAAGAAATTATTTCAGCTAAACCACACATTCTATAGACATAATTCCTCATTTACTGTATTTCAATCATCATATAATTGTGCAGATTTTTCTGTCTTTAGCATATTATTATTCCATCAGGTTTTGATTTATTTTTTTTATCTACGAAATCTATGAAAAAAAGGTGTTTTGAATGATACAAATAAGTAGTAAAAATAAATGCGGATGCGTGTAACTGATTGTTAATGTGGAAAACCACTTTATTATCTTCTGCATCCTCAGCCCGTTCGGAGGCTTTAGTAAAGCTACTACATTCGATAACGTTTAAACAATTAATCTGCTACATAGCTGATTAATTTTAACAAAATATTAGTTTTGTTGGGGTTCTACGATCAAGTTTTGTTTCTATGATCAATGGCGGTTGTGAACGGCAATTTATTAGGTAGAACACAGAACCACATTATTATTCTGTATACGCTATTATACTGATGCAAAAAACGTATAGGCCAATTACCAAATGTGCTGCCAACCAGTAAGAAGTGGTGGTAAAATTTGATAACTGTACCGATTATTTGGGTTGTATAAAAATATTTATATATATTTATATTTTGTACATATAATTAAGATTGAAGACATATTGTTTTGTCGTATTAGTACAAAATTGATTGTGTTTCTCCTTACGTGGTACTGGCGTAGATAAAAGGAGTAGATACTCCACTCCTTTTATCTATGGTACTGGAGTAGAATCAGTAAGGAAAGGGGTTGTTATATTGACAATATATGACCCGTGATAATGTAAGTAGATAAAATTAAGTACAATCTTGTAAACTTTAAAAATTTGCATTCGACTCAGAAATATGTAGTTTTCATGAGTCTTTATCAATAGTTATGTATCTAATAATGTAAACTGAACTTACATGTGTGAAAATACTTAGCGTTCGACATGAATTAATTTGTATGCTCAAACTGTAAATTTTATAAAATCTTAGTTGAGTATTGTTAGCATAAAATTAAATTATTTCTGTAAATTTTCAGACGAGTTCCAGTTGTTCATGAAAAGGCAGCGTATGGCCTATATTAGCTGTGCCTATTTAACCTAATGTAGCCTATTGAATTAAAAGTAAAATCTATCCATTTAAGTTGGTTTCACAACTGTATTTTAGTATACTTTTTTTTATCATCATTTTGCTTTATGATGAGGTTATAAAGCTACATCTATATAGAATTGGGAGTTGTTAATTAATCCCCATGACCACATGGCTTAAACTAAAAGGTTGACAAACACTAGTCCTACTACATAAGCTATATTGTAAATTATGATATTCTGTAAACCAATTGGAACATACATAGGGTGTACATAACCATTAATAAATCCGTACCCAAAAAAACAAATAGCATCTAATTAATTCCTTATTATCACTCTAAAACTCTGTAAACATAATTGAATAACACATTTTTCATTATAATTGACTTTTTCCTACAGTTACCTAATAATGTGCATGTTCTCTCACTGATTTGAGAAAGCAAAGTGGCCAATTCGCTCATCAGTGAGACAATGTTAACATTGTCTCACTCTAATTACTTTGTCTCACTCCAGATTTGCAACATGAAGGCACGAAATAGTGAGCGCGTAACATGCAGACAAGGTCGTATGCGCGCGAAATACGTTGGCAGCACTGGCTGTAAATCAGCTGGTCAGCTGTTGTACCGTTGTATTTGTCACCTCACATTAAATGACATATTAAAAGTTCACTTCTGTGTTAAAATATGTAACGTTTCTTTACCAATGTATTTGTTTTATGGTAACTGTAGGAAAAATATAATGTGCAACTCGAGTGCAAAGTGCAATTGACTCACTCAAGAAACCATTCCTCACTCGCCTACGGCAGGATGGAGTAGGTATTTCTCTCGAGTGAGTCAATTGCTCCCTTTGCTCACTAGTTGCACAAATAACTATTTCCAGAAGCTGGCGAACAATGAACCTATCGTTCAGTAACTCACAACAGCAACAACAACAACAGAAACAATGCCAGAAAAGTCCTCTATCAACGCGAGGGATTGGTTTTGAATGCTTGTTTTTTGCTAAAAAGTTTTGCCGTTATTTGATGTCCACCTTAACGAGCGATGGAAATGATTTTTATGGTAGGGAGATTTATCAATAATAACTTTTGGAGTTATGACTTTAAAAAATTTTAAATTTGTATTGTAAAAAGCATGTATAGTAAATCTGCACATTTCTTGTGGCTGGAGTGTAATAATAAAATACAAACGATTTTAATGAAAAAGAAACTTTTACTTAAAACTGTACTGTAAACATTTTTTTTATTGCATATTGTATTGATGAGTAAAATACGCAAGATATTTTTGTATAATTATTTTCAATCAATTCATCAATTTATTTATAGAACAATAATGGATAGGCCTACATGCATACTATACAGTTTTCATTCAAGTACTTTACACAGTTTTTTATACCCTATGATTAATGAAAAAATTATAAAATAAAAATTTTGTTTAGCCTATAAATTGTTTGTAAACTCGTATTTCCATTTGTTTTACTCTGATGCCATGTACAATAGGAAAAATGTTGCCTACAAGAACTTAGCGATTGCTCCAACACAGCACTGTGCGACTGGTGGCCTAGCGCAGTTATTGCAGCAACATTGGAGTTTGATTTAACTATATGGTACTTGTATCGTTCAAACAATAGACTTGAAGCCATTAGGGTTGTCGTAAATTTTTTTTTCATCCGCAGTAAAATAAATACATTACAGTAAATACATACAATATATATACAGTTGTAGTGAGCTGACAGATTTATCAGCTGACAGATGTTTTAAATAGTTTATTGAATTTTGGTTGCTATGAAAAGAAAAATAAACAAAGAGACATTCTTTTAGGCTTTTCAACCAAAGTAGTTCATTTTTATTTGCTCTAAAGAATTAATTGTTAATTACTTGTAAAAGTATGATAAATTAAACAATAATATTTAGTGGAAACCTCTAGACTTTTATTTAAAGTATTTATCCTATTTAAATGAGGTTCTTTTCACTAAAATTGGTGACCCCGAATTGAACACATCAAGAACACACAATGGAAATCAATGAAGAAGTATTGGCTAGACTAAAACTGATGGAAGAGCAAAACCAAGATCTCAGAAAACAACTTAATGATGTCATTGGAGTTGACTCTGAATATTCAAGACAAAATGGTGATTCAGAAGAAGATTTTTTGGTTAATCCAATGAATCAGAAAACTCAAGAAAGAAACAATTCAGTAAATCCAAGACCGTCTAACAACACAACTTAAATGCAATCTCCACAATTAAAATTTCCCCATTTTTGGCGTGAGAAACCAGCACTTTGGTTCATACAGATTGAGGCGATTTTCTCTTTATGGAACATTTTCGATGAGAGCCTTCGTTTCACACACGTTGTGACACACTTAGATGAGATGACTGCCTCCGAAATAGAGGATTTACTCTCAAACCCAAATCTAGAAAAGTGACATTCAAGAATCCAATTTTAGTTTGATGGAAATCGCCTTTGTCCTTGCTGTTATTATTATTATTTTTTTTTGTTATTTGTTATTTTTTTTGTGACTTTTCGGAACCCTCCAAAACTCCATGGACTTCCAGTCTTCGTAGGGGGCTCCTGTAGTGAGCTGACAGATTTATCAGCTGACAGATGTTTTAAATAGTTTATTGAATTTTGGTTGCTATGAAAAGAAAAATAAACAAAGAGACATTCTTTTAGGCTTTTCAACCAAAGTAGTTCATTTTTATTTGCTCTAAAGAATTAATTGTTAATTACTTGTAAAAGTATGATAAATTAAACAATAATATTTAGTGGAAACCTCTAGACTTTTATTTAAAGTATTTATCCTATTTAAATGAGGTTCTTTTCACTAAACAGTAAATACAGTTAAATACAGTAATATAGTTAAATACATACAGTAAATACATTTTTTCGGTTGTATGAAAATCAACTAATGTAATCTTAGTTTTGAAAACATATGGACCTACTGCGAGCGTTTCGGTCTTGTTAACTAGTTCAGTAAAATATAGGCTTCCAATAGAAATGTCCCGTAACAAACTAAATGTAGGTATTTAAGTTTAGTAATATCAGTCTTATTTACTTTACAAAATGTACGGTGAACAAAACATAGGTCAAATCAAATCTACAAAACTGGTATTTGGAATTAAATCCCAACCCAGCCAGAAATAAGCGACTGTAATGTGAAATATTTATTCTTTGGGAAGAAGATAATCAATATGGCACCATTTGAAATTATTTCACCGCAACCCTACTCGCCGGACCCTACTCACCGTTACCCTACTCGATGTGTTAAAAGTTACGTCGTAAATAGTAATAAATAATCAAAAAGCAAACACGCATTTAAGCTGACGAAAGGATATTGTTCTAAATAGCTTGATTAAGTCAGCTATATAAATCATCAGAAATAAAACTAATTTTTAGATGAAATAATTGTACGTACATTTAATTTAAAGAATGCGTATTTAGTAACGAAATGCTGTTTGGTTTTGTTCCCGAGCATGAATGCAAAAGTAAAACAGTTCACTTAGCTATCAATAGTGTAAACTAATACAAGTATGTATGTGGATTCAATTTTATGATTGAGACAGAAAATTGATGTTTTCCTGAGCCCACTCATTGTTTTCCCTCGTCAAATCCTTAAAACGATTTTCTACTTTCCACAAACTGTTTTGACAAGTGTACACCCAAGTTAGTGGTATACTAAGCAGGTAACGTAGCATCTCTAGAGCAGGATAGAACCAGGCCACCGTAATGCAAAGGGGATTAGGCTAGTAGGAATATGATTAAGTAATGGTGTAGATTACGCGAAAGTGTATGATCAGATGTCCAGGGATATATATACACTGTCTATACATCGATACACAGACTGTCTTCAACCACCATCGACATGTACCACACAGTGAGTATCATAATTAATTATTAGATTTTTTTTAATATTTTACTTTATTAGGTTAAGGTTGGACGTAGATACAACACTGAATCAAGTTTTAGTACGAGCCCAAGCTTTGCTAAAGACAACATTTCTTTCAGGAAAAAATACAATATAAAACATATTTAAAACATGAAACTATATTGGGACCTAGAACGTTTAGAATTACATAGATAGTGTTTCACTTTTACAATTCAATATGTTTTTGTCAACTGGACTAAAGAAAGTATCTTATACTGTTTATAGTTGAACCTGTTATAGAATTTGTACTGAAATAGGGCGTTATTCATGTTTCTTGCGCCGGTTAAGGTATCAGATGCAAAGCGTATGAGATTACTTTCAAAGTGCACAGATTAGCTTTAATCAGTAGATGGTGGTTTTTTTCAGTAACTAAACCAATTTTGTAATTAAAAAGTGTACTTTTTAGTAGTGATTTCCGGACTTTTCGGCCTTAAAACAGTCAACACCGACATATAAACTAGTTTTAGTGATTGGCATAATGATTTTAAATTACAAAAATCATGTGGGTTATTACATATTTTTCTGACTTTCAGCAAGTAAGATAACCAAATAGGATATAAAATATCGTGAACAGATTTTTTTTAATTTACAACATTATGTTTTCTTACAAATTCAGCAGTGTCAATTATACACCTCGTACTCAATCTTCAATTCACACATTAGATGTGTAACAAAATAAATAGCCTCTTATCATCTCCAGTTCTTCTTGTTAGAGTTTTATATTTGTATTCGACCAAACTTTAAAGTATCCACCTCCCCATATCCACAGTTGCTACTGAGTTGCACCTTAGTGGTCGTCGCCAGGTCCGCGGCAGTAGCCCCTGTTGCTGCCCCCGCCTATAGCGCCATCCCCAATTACCAAGCAGCCGCCCCCACGTACCAAGCCGCCCCCAGAGTAGAGGAGTACGACCCTCATCCCCAGTACACCTTCACCTACCACGTAGAGGACCAACACACCGGCGACTCTAAAACCCAGAGCGAGAGACGCGACGGAGACGTCGTCCAGGGAGCTTACAGGTTAGTTTATTTAAGGATACAAGAATTTTAACCAAAGCTGAAATTGATTAATCAATGCGGTTACCTATTCCACTTTGGGAAAACACACTTTTTTAACTGACAGCCCAAGTTATGATATCTCGGTTTAGCATCACGGTGTTATAATTTATCTGTACCTATCAAGCTTTTGCTGTAGCGGTTGACTTATTGCAATGGGTGATTGGTTCCTTCCTCACGACGCAAACCTCTTAATAAACTCGTGTTCGGATCTCGAATCTTCTACACTTAATTGTCAATTTTTAGTAAATGCAATAATACATTCTTGTTTTAAAGACTAAATTGTTCAAGGCGTGAGGTCCTGAGAAATAAATCAGGCAATATGATGATAAAAATAAACCTTATCAACTTACAAATTGTAAATATTCTATTGCAGAACACTATACAGAATGTCACTGTGAATACATAATAATTGCAAATACAAAACGTATATCTATAGGCTTGATATGGAGGGGTTTTTGCGGACATTTTGCACCAAAATTAGTAAACAAATATATTCGAAACAGTCTCTTAACCAATGAACCTAATTTAACTAAAAATTACTTTGACAAATAAATGAACTTTAAAAACTACCGTTACGATAATCTTCAAAATAAAGTTGAACTCTAATTAAGCCAAAGATACGGGATTGAGTACTACATAGATTTTAATATTTGTTCCATTGCATTTTAAGTGAAATTTTACATTTTGTTGTTATTTCCAGTTTGATAGAGCCCGATGGTAGTCGCAGGACCGTAGAGTACACCGCCGACGCTCAAAACGGGTTCAACGCCGTCGTCCACCGTGAGCCAGCACGTCACCCCGCCCCCGCAGCTGCCCCCGCTAGGGTCGCCGCCCCCGTGTACGTCGCCGCTGCCCCCACAGTCGCTGCCCCAGCAGCCCAGTACGTTGCATCAGCACCTTAATACACATCAAGTCGCCAGTCCTACTGAGGTGTACATATGACTAGTATCCATCTTTAAATTATTTCTAGGGAAATTGTTTGTAATCTTATAAAGCTATGTGATAATTTACTATTTTAAATACAATCATGCTGTATTATACTCTAACTATGACTTTTTATTGAGATTGACTATGACAGAATTCATAAATTAACGTTACAAATTTTGACTTAGTATTTCGTTTAAAAACAGTATACAGTAAAACTCATGACTATATGGTAGACACTAGCAAAACTCATTTATTTTCGTACACAATTAATTAATTTTGAAACCAATGTTGATGGACGTTGCTGTTGGAAAACTAGCTGAACTACTCGCAGTTTATTTTTAACTGTTTATGCAAATCTTTATGTATTTGTGAAAATTGTTCAGTGTGTTGGTTCATGTGTCATAATTCCAGATATGAAAGGCAATGTTTATTCGTCTCTTGGGACGTATAAAAATGATAAATATGATAAATGCGATAAAATGTCTGTGACCACACAATTCCACATTTGTAATATTACCAGAGGAAATTACCTCCTCATTATTCCCAACATAGCACGGAGAAGAACATAACTCAATAGATTTTTCAACAACTCCCTGTACCCACAGTTGAGCGTGAGTTGTACCCTAGACTGCTCCCTTCGACATTATTAAAGGTCTGGTGCACATACATTTTGAATTACCATCGTTAAAATACACACATCTAAAAACGTTCTTCTCTGGACTATGGTTCTAATAATTTGAAAAATAATTACATAAAGAAAACAAAATTGACAACTCATCCCTCCTTCTATCCATCAACACTTAGCCTTGAACACCCCGAAGAAGTTACAACACAACTCGATTATGCCGGGAGAAGAAGAGAAGAAAAGAAAAGAAAGAGAAGGATGAGAAAATAGGCAATCAAATGAGGCCCTGGGCGCGGGAGTGTCCGAATTCAGTCACGCTTTTTAACACCCAGAATGGAACGTGCAGTTGTGTAACTGGCTGGACAATGCGTGCATGAGGTGCATGTGGCGATGACGTCATGGGAGCTGGTCACGTGACCTCGAGGCGAAAATCATGCATGAAGAGCTTTCCTTATAAATATTAGTACATGTAAAATGCAGGTTTAATCCTTAATATCCACCCATAACTTAACAGTAGTGTTACACGAAGAACATTTAACTAAAATGATTTCACTGGAAGTTTTTTGTAAGTAATTTTGGGGGTATAAAAAAAAACATTGGTATGCGGACATAACGGGATCCATTTATTGTTTTTAGAATTACTTTGCTAAAACCTATTTACATGGTTAACGCTTACTAATGTTAACTAGCGGCTAGTCTAATGTTACGTCAATGAAAGCTAGCAAACTAAAAATATTAAAATTACCACTTGGTCCTACTTATTATACGTTTTTGAAACGGTAAAATATACATTATCATAAACAGTATTTCAAACCAACCAACAACTTAAATTAATTGCAGACGACTTTCCTTATTGTTTGAAACCGGACCAAAGCACCTTTCTTAAAGGTTTGTTCGATTATGTTCTCTTGAAGTAAAACACTAAATACTTCAAGCCCATAAAAAATCCGAATTAAATGTTAAACGATTGCTATACAATATACACTTTCAATGCAGTTCAGAAATGAGCAAACAAGGAAGTAGGAGTTGCATTAAACTTTAGGCAATCTATAAACTGGTGATTTCTGAGCCGCTGAGTTAACTACGTATTAATGAAATCCATGAGGCGAGTCGTGATATGTCAGACAGCTAACATCTTTCTTCTGGGATAGTAATGGAGTGAGCTGGTGAGCTGCTCACCGATCCACGTTGGTATTAGTGAGTATCTAGTAGGAATCTGGGCTATAATTGGTGGTACTTATCAGTTAAGTTTCGTTAAATATTTTGACAAATACCTTCTAAATTGATTAGATCGAGATAAATTACGATTACATTTTAACAAACAAAAACAGCTAGAATGTCGAATATACAAGAGCAACTGTGTCCTTGTGGTTTAAGAATAAGAATATTTGATTTCCTCCCAGATACATCACGAGACAATGTACAATACAAAAAAGGGTAAATTGAAATAATATCGTAAAAGAATAAATGTCTCACGTGTCAGACCAAGGCCACAATAGAAAAAAGGTCACACTTAAGGATAGATTCATCAAATATGTTTTAGGTAATGAGCTGTTTACAATTTTATTGGCCTTAATTTCTAGTGGGGCCTTGGTCAGACTGAGTAAGAGGAAAATACTCAGTATTAATCACAATAATATACAGAATGAAAAAATATATTCTTAATATTTTGTGCATGTAATTAACGTGGGAGAAAATGTAGGGCGTTCCTTTAAAAAACAACTACAGAAATTAAAGACAGCTATCAGAAAAAATAGCCAGGATTGAAAATTTGTGTCAACCCACAGTTGATTTTGGTCTGTAGCCTATTCAATATTTTGGGAAATTTGTATACTTTTCCTCGAAAACGCGCTGTTGTAGTTGAAACGTGCGTTTTAACACATACAAAAAAAGATACGTGAAGAATTCTGCAGCTGCTTTTAAATATGGCACGTGTATCAGTAAAATACGGTAACATGAGTTTTAAATTAAATCATTGTTGCAACCCGCTGACAAAACTATATTAACGGAGCAAATACTTAAGTGGATTAATACTACTTTCATGCATGCTCATACCTCCTCAGCTCCTGGACTACAGTTTCAAAACCATTGGTGATCATAATAATACTAGGTAGACTGCAAGTTATACTGTAACCACTTTTTTCGCTAGTATCTGTAGCCTACCAAAATTTTTCTTTATAAGGTTATAAATTAAATTGCATTAGCTAATAGCAGAAGCTAATTAAATTAAAACTTTACATTTACCCCAACCTTTTTTTCAACATTATGTTTATCTAATGCAAAATGTCACGTCAAATGTTGCCACAACTACACCTCTCAATTGAAAAGATTGTGAATCAAAATTTGCAAAATAATATTTTCAGGATGGTTTTTAAAAAAAGGATGGGCTCTTTTACCTTGCATTTGCCAGTCTACATGGACCACAGAGGCCTGTAGGTGGAACGTATGCAGGTTGGCATAGGGTGAGCCGATACAGTACAAGGATTAACTGAGCCACCGACTCGCCCAGCAAATTACGACCATACATCTCTAAGCACATCGGTACACGTTTCTTACATTCGCACACGCACAATCATCTTCGTAAAGGTTTTGATGAATAGGTCCAGCGCTCGGTTTGCAGGGGAAGTATTCGTGTTGAGGGTGACAGAAACAGTCGGAAACATAGCGGGGAAACTCGCTTCCGGCCACTTCCGCGCTAGTAACAACGTGCATTATCTGTCTGTTATTGCCGTTATTGGCTTGTTATTTGTTTTTACTCCAGTTTCTCTCGACTGCAACTACTTCCTTAGTTATGAATGGCTTCTTCGGACAATGGACATTGTCAAGTGCCATGGATGAACTAATATTATATAATAGTTATAATTATATTCGTTTTCTTTGCTACTACTTTCTTCTTCTGGCGTTCTTCAAGTATTAAACTACTATATATTGGTATTTTTACATTTTAGATAATATAAGTTATACTAAGCTGGAACCGGTCCCACGACTATCTTTTTTTACCATCAGGTGAATAGTGACTATTTTCCATATTAACTTAAGTCCAAAGACCGAGACTAAGCCGAGGTTTAATGAGCTAGGGTAAAAAACACTATTTACTTGGGTGGTTAGCTAACTAATTCAATTAATGAAAATTCCGTACATTTTTCCTTTATGAATTAGCTATTACATATCTGAGACGGTATTTTGTAATATTTGTGTTCGTGATGGAAAAGAATCGGTTTAAAATCATACACGTGTATATTGTATATATTTGAATTCCCGAAAATACTATACATCACCGAGTAAAGCTCGGTCCTCTGGTACTTAAATTATGATAAACATGAGGATAGTAAGTAGAACTCATGTTTATCGTGGGACAGAAACCCGTTCGTTAAGTTGTGAACTTTTTAGAGGACGGCAAGTATAAAAAAGATGAAACTTGTTTTCCTCTGCCATCCATTGGGGTCAGATTAGACATTCTTAACCAATTAACCTCTTACCATTAACTAGCATTAACACGAATGTGCGTTGCGGCAACGCCATCTAGAGTTTATGCTGTTCTATATATTTGGTCATAGAGCCATCTCTTTGACCAGCACTGTACTGGATGGAAGATGCTTATTGGTACTTGGTACATACAAGGAAATATTCTATAGTTCAAAAAAGCTGCCTATGAATCACCATGAATAAACGTAATTATAACTCGATAGTCATTCCTAAATTTTAAGAGTATTTGGTAATATTGGTACCTAAACTTACATGCACAGACGTCGTATGTATTTTTTGATAAGGACCCCCGATTTCTTGAAAATATCTTTTTAAGGAATAAGTTAGTGCAAACCCAGAAAATGTTGAAGATTATCATTGTATTGATCTGAAACATGATCAAATCATGTTGTGTTAAATTCATTTTAAAGATCCCATATATGAGCCCATATATTATATGATGGTTTTTTATTTATTACTTTGTGTACACGGTATGTAAGATTGATGATTTCTGCCACACTAAGATGATTTCTAAGGTTTTGACATGCCATTTGCTAATCAGAAGTAATCCGTTGCTTAAAAGGACAACGGTAATTGAAATTGAGCGGTGAATGCTTCTTCAGTAGTTGACAATTTCACTTATAAATCTTATAAATTAACATGTTTCACCTATTAATTATTGTTAACTGCAGAGCATCATGTTTTCATTGCTTAACGATTTAGCATCCAACATTTCGTAATAAGAACATTTTGTTAGTTGGTGCTTCTGTATTTCGTCCCGGGTTATATTTTTTCTTAAATTTTTAAAGACCATCTATACATATCCCACCTATATGGTACCCTGCTATAGCATATTCTTTATTCCAATAGAATTTAGTTGATTTGAGACAATCGTAAAGTAGGCATAACTGTTAAAATTATATTTGCTCTATAGTTTTTTGATACATTGATTATTGATATGTTATAAAAATATGCAATAGTATACAATAAGTTGTTCCTTTGGTAAGGATTCAATCCAAAACTTTAAGATGGGAGATGGGGATCCAAAACACTAATCGACATCATTGGCTCAATTTAACTGCATACATTTCCATACTTATACTGGTTGCACCGATAACACGTAGATGGAATAGTAACAATATATATCAACACATATATCAATAGTAAAAATAAATTAATTAAAAATGAAACTTGGAGTTTCATTAATAAATTATTGTAGTGAAGAAGGTGATCAGCGTTATGGGAGCTCAAGATCTTTACAGCTTTCCGATTAGTTTTTAGGTTAAATATAATCTAGAGCCTACAATACATAGTTTACGGCACATACTGTTGCCCTTCAACAATTTTAGTTTGTATTGACATATCTACGCTTCTCATACTAAACAGGAACGTGTAAGTTTTAAGTGGTAAATAAGCAACAGATCTTTTCAGCATGCAGACCATAATAGGCTTTATACTATCCTTCACGTAATTATTCTGAAATCTTCACAGCAACAATTTTATTGGTAAGTAGGCTTGTTAACTGGCAGATCAGACAAAAGCAGATTGAAGACAAAATCAAGGACCAGTGGGAAGAACGGCCACTCAGCACTCTCCTGTACTGTTAAAAACTTCACCGATTATCTGTTTTATAACGCGACGCGACGAAGACAATAGTTCCGGAAACGATGCACGTGGAAACGGTTTCCACAAACAGAAAACAGTGTGTGTTAAATTCGCTCCGTACTCTCTCTGCCGGAAAATCTGCTACTCTGTTCTGGTTTGATAGCATAATAACTGCCGCGGTGCTCGCTATATAGCGGAGCCGCCGGACATTTCGTCATTGTTCCGCCATGCTTCCGAAGGTGAGTACTGCAGTGGAAGTGCATTGTTGCTAGTTTGTGTGTTCAGGCTTTGAATGATTTTAGTTTCTATATTTGAAGGTTTATATTTATTTTTTTAACAAAATTTGATCAACCGATTTTTGTAGGAGTATCTTAGAGTGCCGTGAAGTGTTCTGACTAATAGATGTGGATGGGAAGTATAGATTTTGCAATTTCCCCAGTGCTTACTTATACCTTGATTATATTATAGCTATACCATATCATGTATTTAGTTAACGAATATGAAAACCCCTTCTAACAAGTTATTCCCATGGTGCATCTGAAAGTGCGATCAGTTACGTTTTGATTATTTAGTTGTAACGATATAAAATATGTAAAAGAACTATGAAGAGCATGACTAGATTCCATGGGATCAGTAAACATACACAATTTAATGTAAACAAAATTCTCATGTGTAGACGGATTGGCATGTTGAGAAAACATGTTTTTTGTGATGTCCAAGTGCAGTTATTTGATTTAGGATATTATTCATCAAGAAATACAAACTAAAAAAGAACGTAATTAGTGAATTTTACGTGAGTAAAGTTTGTAGTTTATGTAACATCAGTAACACCTGTATCAAGAGTGTCAGAGTGTAATGTCAGAGAGTTATTGTAAGGGTTTAGAGTTTCCCCCGTGTCCTTCAGTAATTTAATTATTTAAAATGAAGATTCCAGGCCTTGGGTATTTGTTAATTAATATTTATATTGAAATGAAGTTAACATTGATGATTAGCAAAGAAAGTGTTTGTAAGACATATCCTACATTTGTGTATTTTCCTAACCGCCGTTCAACCGTAAAACATGGATCAAAGAAATTCCTTGGTTAAGCCTTTAAAATATGAAAGGTTCAATTCCGATAATTGATTATTCAAAACTTTCGGTACCGGGTGTTTCAAGGAATCGAAGTCCAACACCTGGATTCAATACCAATTCCTGTATTTTCACCGATTGCGTTAAAATAGTTATCATCTACCCCATTCCCAGTATCATGATGGTTATCTACCGCAGGACTAATTTGACATTGTGGTGATCTCTAGGAACCGTGGTGATCTTGCGATTTTTCATTTAAATAGTCTCAAACAACGCCGCACTTATACTATCACCCTTCCCAGTAATCCCTATCAGGTCCTTATCACTAACAATGTTGTATTGCAGATAGTGCTGGTGACTCTAGCAGTGGTGTGGGGCAGGTTTGTGTCTGCGGGACGGGAGATCACCCTAATGACTCTGTCAGGTCTAGCACTAACTACGCTACACCCTCACCATCACCCTTCCCAGGAGACTAACCTTACACTCATGTATCACTAATACTGTTGTATTGTAGATAGTGCTGGTGACTCTAGCAGTGGTGTGGGGCAGGTTTGTGTCTGCGGGACGGGAGATCACCCTAATGACTCTATCAGGTCCAGCACTAACTACGCTACACCCTCACCATCACCCTTCCCAGGAGACTAACCTTACACTCATATATCACTATAATTGTTGTATTGTAGATAGTACTGGTGACTCTAGCAGTGGTGTGGGGCAGGTTGGTGTCAGCGGGCCCGGGAGATCACCCTAATGACTCTATCAGGTCCAGCACTAACTACGCTACACCCTCACCATCACCCTTCCCAGGAGACTAACCTTACACTCATATATCACTATAATTGTTGTATTGTAGATAGTACTGGTGACTCTAGCAGTGGTGTGGGGCAGGTTTGTGTCTGCGGGCCCGGGAGATCACCCTAATGACTCTGTCAGGTCCAGCACTAACTACGCTACACCCTCACCATCACCCTTCCCAGGAGACTAATCTTACACTCATGTATCACTAACATTGTTGTATTGTAGATAGTGCTGGTGACTCTAGCAGTGGTGTGGGGCAGGTTGGTGGCTGCGGGCCCGGGAGATCACCCTAATGACTCTGTCAGGTCCAGCACTAACTACGCTACACCCTCACCATCACCCTTCCCGGGAGACTAACCTTAACACTCATGTATCACTATAATTGTTGTATTGTAGATAGTACTGGTGACTCTAGCAGTGGTGTGGGGCAGGTTGGTGGCTGCGGGCCCGGGAGATCACCCTAATGACTCTATCAGGTCCAGCACTAACTACGCTACACCCTCACCATCACCCTTCCCAGGAGACTAACCTTACACTCATATATCACTATAATTGTTGTATTGTAGATAGTACTGGTGACTCTAGCAGTGGTGTGGGGCAGGTTGGTGGCTGCGGGCCCGGGAGATCACCCTAATGACTCTATCAGGTCCAGCACTAACTACGCTACACCCTCACCATCACCCTTCCCAGGAGACTAACCTTACACTCATATATCACTATAATTGTTGTATTGTAGATAGTACTGGTGACTCTAGCAGTGGTGTGGGGCAGGTTGGTGGCTGCGGGCCCGGGAGATCACCCTAATGACTCTATCAGGTCCAGCACTAACTACGCTACACCCTCACCATCACCCTTCCCAGGAGACTAACCTTACACTCATATATCACTATAATTGTTGTATTGTAGATAGTACTGGTGACTCTAGCAGTGGTGTGGGGCAGGTTGGTGGCTGCGGGCCCGGGAGATCACCCTAATGACTCTATCAGGTCCAGCACTAACTACGCTACACCCTCACCATCACCCTTCCCAGGAGACTAACCTTACACTCATATATCACTATAATTGTTGTATTGTAGATAGTACTGGTGACTCTAGCAGTGGTGTGGGGCAGGTTGGTGGCTGCGGGCCCGGGAGATCACCCTAATGACTCTATCAGGTCCAGCACTAACTACGCTACACCCTCACCATCACCCTTCCCAGGAGACTAACCTTACACTCATATATCACTATAATTGTTGTATTGTAGATAGTACTGGTGACTCTAGCAGTGGTGTGGGGCAGGTTGGTGGCTGCGGGCCCGGGAGATCACCCTAATGACTCTATCAGGTCCAGCACTAACTACGCTACACCCTCACCATCACCCTTCCCAGGAGACTAATCTTACACTCATATATCACTATAATTGTTGTATTGTAGATAGTACTGGTGACTCTAGCAGTGGTGTGGGGCAGGTTTGTGTCTGCAGGCCCGGGAGATCACCCTAATGACTCTGTCAGGTCCAGCACTAACTACGCTACACCCTCACCATCACCCTTCCCAGGAGACTAACCTTATAACACTCATGTATCACTATCATTGTTGTATTGCAGATAGTGCTGGTGACTCTAGCAGTGGTGTGGGGCAGGTTGGTGTCTGCAGGCCCGGGAGATCACCCTAATGACTCTGTCAGGTCCAGCACCAACTACGCTACACCCTCACCATCACCCTTCCCAGGAGATTCGCCCTACTACTCGGCGGAGTCCAAGAGTTACAAGGATGACGATCGTAGGCCCTTTGATGGTCCTAGCCATCCACGAACTGGTCCTCCTAAGAAGGTGACTTATCCTCAAATACAAAACCAATTTAATAAATAGCTCACGGTTTTTATAAATCGTATTAGTTTAACAGTCACAAAAAAAAGGTCGTGCTTTTAATTTTGACCTGTCGAAACACTGTCTGTTTATGGCTAAGTATTTTGGTGACGAGTGGTGACTTGTCCATTGCCCCTCACATTGTCCGCCACTAGCAAGTGCACGCTTGCGCAAACTTGCTCAGACTCTGCGCCAAAACAAAAATATTCGTTTCGTAGTTGTAAGCGAGCGCAAGTAGCAGGATCTCAGCTCAGAGTTCAGTTGATTCCTGAACATTGGTTCGAGTGGAAGTGACGTGCTGAATTATCGATACGGAAATTCTTGCCTGAAAAAATAGATTGCCTGCTTGGTGTAGGTGTTATTTTGTCCAGTATGTAAGAGAAAGTCTCTAGCGTCATTCTGAAGTACCTGAAATTTTTCTCATGTTGTCCTAGCAAGTTGTTGAATATTCGTGCATACTCTCCATCTTATCCTCAGTTCACAAACTACTCGTTTACAAACTCGTTCCTAATATCTTGCTCATCCAATAATAAAAATACCACTAAAACAATGTCCTCGTCATCTGACATTTCCATTTCGACTGACCTGTTTATAATTATTCACTTGCAACTGCTTGCATTCAGTGTGAGCACATTACTGTTCACGCAAGCTTGCGCCCGCGTGCGCCACCAAAATACTTGCGCAAGTGTGCGTCCAATTTGATCGTAGCCCTATAAGTGTAAATATTAAAGACAAACTTAACTGTACACAGCGGTTCACATGACTGATCTATGACCAAAGTAAATGAAACATTTCGCAATCCCCATTTAATCTTCCTCTATTAGAACCAGTGGTATAGGATTCCCAACAAAGGCTATCTTTATGTTACAATCATTTCTTGTGCAAACATCTTCTGGGTAAGATTTGCCTGAGGTTGGAATGGAACAATGAAAGCCATTAGACTGCCATTTCCAAATTTGAAGATATGAATAATTCAAAAGTAGTAAGCGTTGTTCGTTCCAGGGGTCACAATCAACACGACCCGTCGTGCTGTTCCTTTTTAGAATGAAAATTATGATGTAAGGATTGACGCACAATGGACATACGCCACTTCATTCATATGTACAAGTCTTATGTTATAAAGCTATATCTCGCTTGTGTGCGTGATTGTTGTTTCTAAATATTACATAATTGTGCATTATATTAATGGAATCCACTGTAATTTTAAGTTTATTATATTCCAATTTACGTTCATATTTCGGCAGGGTTTTCCATAAAGAATAGCTTTTGTAGTAGGCTCTGAGAAATGGGAATCGATGCTCAAAACCACTTGACCGTGCAGTGAGCATTGCATTCTTATGATAAAGAAGTAGCCTGTTTTAGAAAATAAATTGATACAGTAGTTGATACTGCAAAAAGGTTCAAATAACTGTTACTGCCTAGCGATTATACTCCTTCTAGAATGATTAGCTCTACTCATCTCTTAGTTAAGTTGAGCCACAGTGTGCTGCTTAAAAATGCTGTTTTTAATTTTATAGACAAACGTTAAATCATACAAAACTGAAAGCAAAACTTAGTGTAAACTTTAGAACATTTTATGGCGCTATTTTACACCATAATATATTTAAAGATAAACAAAAATGTCAACGCTTGCTAGCTCTAAGGAGGCTCTCTTGGAGTAAAAAAAGTTCATTTGATGGTCCTTATATGGAATATTTCAAGTTAGCAATTTCTTAAGTAGCCTAATTACTTGTTCAACGGTTTTGTTGCATATTATGTTTTTGTGTAATTTTTTGCCACAAAGAAGACAAAAAATAGTGGAAATTTCTAATAGGGAAATGTGAAAGACCTTGCATTTCGAACATGACCTAAACACTACCATTGAAATCACGAATAACTAAAGCCCTACAGGAGCATAATCTTTTTTCTAAGGTGGTAATTTTTTTTTTCTCACAGCTTGGTCCCGGGCCCGGACCCCTCTCGTACTCCGGCGTTCCGCTCTCCTCCTACCCCCAGAGGTTCCTCCCCCCAGGTGCCGTCATCGGCTACCTCGCCTACCCGCAACCGCTGGTCCACGGAGGTCTACCTCTCTCGGACGCCGCCCCAGGTCTCCTACCCTCCGCAGCGTTCAGTCACATAGCCTACGCATCACCTCTGACTCTGCCCTACCACACGAGGCCTGTACCCCTGAGCCCAGGCCCTGGCCCCGGGCCCTACAACTCACCCTACAGCGGCGGTGGCCCCGGCTACGGCTCTTCTCATTCTTCCTTCAAGTAGAAGGGCCGTCCCTTCAAGAGTTACAAGACTTTTATCTAATTTTCGTTGTACATATTCATTTAGTTTTGTTAAGTTTAATAAAAACGTTGTGAAAATCTATACGTGAGTTTTTATAGTCTCAGCCACATCATAAATAATCCATGTAGTAAATAGTAGTCAATGGAAAAAGAGATAGTCACTACATTTGATTAAATTTGTTTCAAATTAATTTTACTACTACCACATTTTGTAATGTTTGATTAAAACTATAATAATACGCCCTCTTCTTGCATCGACTCTTTGCATTGCTCTCATTTACGTTCCATGATGATCTATGTTATGCAACATCACCCTGGCATCGGTTCAGACAATATATTAAATCAAACAGAAAATAAGCCATCCCTTACAACAGCGCATCGTTTTTCTTAGTGTTTTACTGTTTCTTGTAATACATATTCGTGAAGAAAGTATAAATGTTTCTCGCATTTAAACAAAGGAAGTCAGTATGTAATTAAAATACCCCCGCTGCGGCAAACCTGCCGACTAAGCGAATTTCCATGTGCCTGGATTGATTTTCAATTAATCTATTAAATTAACATTTATTTTTAACGAGTACCTAGGTTAGCTGCTATAGGGAAACTAATAAAGTGTGTTTTTTATTAAAATATCAATAGCTTAGTATGAAATAAATAAATCTGCCAAGTTTGATCAAAATATATCCATATACAAGCCAACTACAAAATTTTACAATATTCACCATGAGAATAACATAGGAATTTTAAATTAACATTTTTTTATTTTCTCCGTAACCATTCACCGTACAAAAACACTTTGGTATACTAAATTATTTGTTTTAAGCTGTTTAATACAGATCTGGAGAAAGATTGTAAAAAACCTATTTTTACCCCATAAAACCCCCCGTTAAACCCCGTTCCCATAGTCCGATCATGCTGGTTCGCGAACTCATTCTAGTTTATCCCACCTTACACCTTCAAACCAAATTTTATCAAAATCGGACAAGTTATCATCCGGACGGACACATATATATATATATACATATAAAAAAATTTGGACAAATGGTGTTTTTGGCTTCTGGGGACATCAAAATGAAAAAGTAAATCGGTCCCGGACCTAGGTCTTACCATGAGACCTACAGTAATAGCTACTTCCCTATAGGGAAATTTGCTAACAAGGAAAATTATTCCACGAATCACAAAATTTTACTCTAACTCGAAACGGAAACAATTATATCAAGTAATGTGTTACCTAAACCCGTCGCAATTCTATTCCACAGGCCATTTGGACTTCTTCACGCTTTGGTCCGCGAAATGGCCAAATAACCGAACAGCGGTGTGATAATTAGGAAACAATCGAGTTGTGTCGGCGGGAGTCTATCAGCTGGTAATGGTGTTGCACAACCAGGTAGAATAACCTTTCCTCCGCAGTGCCTCGGCATCAGTACAGGGAACCTTGGCCTCAAGTAAGGGTCGTGAGAGACTCCACCACTGCACACTTGGAACTGTGACCAGCTGATATCGATATGTGTTGTGTGCTACATGTGTTGCTGGCATACACGCTTTCAGAATAGAAGTAACGGGTTTGGACGGGATAGTCTATACTCCTCGGAAATTTCCAAATTAAATGGTCAAAAACCAATAAAGAGTATATTTTATAGCCCAATGGTAAATTCAGTTAAGGGCGTATCTTTTACTAATATGCACTACCGTACACTATACAATTTTTTCCTTAACAAATCCATACTACTTACAATTTAAATTTTTGTTTTAGGATGTTAGGGTGTAAAAATTCCCAATAAATAATGCTCCTAATCACATAGGTAGTTTTAGACTAAAACTGATTTTGTTCAGCCACTGACGGCTACTAGTGTGCTTGTGTAAAACATCACTATCATTCTTATGCAGCTTTAGAACTTTTCAATCATGCCAAAATATTCATGAATTTTGCTATATTCTTGAACACTTGACATTTAGAGTTCAGCCGCAGGAGGATCTAACCCTCTGTAGCATGGCAAGTAATATTGCAGCTACAACTGGTTAAGAAGTATTTACCAGCACAAATAATTATGCGTGCTTACTGATTTAATATAATTGGATAGAATTAAACATCGGGGTACTAAAATCTAACATTTATGAGGTTTTACACACCAAGGATGTTTGTAGTAGGGATATTCCTTAAATGAGTTTGGACCAAACTGAATTTAAAATTGAAATTTTCCCCTCAATTAATCTTTCAATTTTTAAAATATGAAATTATCAATGAGTCCTGGCTTAATAGGTAACTATAAAATTCACTTTAACAATTTGTTTGATGCATGTTTTGCTTAATCTTAATATCGATACAAAATTATGATTCAAAATTTGCTTACATGTACACATTTCAAGTATTGCTATTCCTTAAATCGACTACTTTTCTAAAACGTTTGTCACTGACTTGAGTTGTTGAATATCATTTTAATTGGAACTCTTTTTTGCACGGACAGGTAAAAGCCAAAAATCAAAAATAAAGGAAACCCCTTTCGTTTATGAGTTCAACAGTTCACTATTTCATCGCACGGTAAACGCACGCATAAGTAAGTATAGGACAGATTGAGTAGATACACTATTGCTTTACTGGATAGATGTTTCACCAGACCTTAACCTACAAACGCTACAAACTCTTGTAACATTGGATAGATGATGTCAGACTATTGTTCCGGTGGAATAACTCTTCATTTGAATATCCAATCTCGATATTCAAATCAGATAAGACGTGAAAATCGATTGCTTACAAACCTGACAATATGTTACAAGTGACAAGCGCATATAATTTGACAACTTGACCATTTGTTAAGATCGCAATGCAATTGAGAAGTACCGATGTGTTATTTGAAGTTGAAAGTGACTTTGTTACTACCATAAACATTAAAATTACTGTCCATGTGCTTGCTATGGTAAACTAGGTGGCGTTCGCAGAGGCATCCACAAAATTGAGCGGAGTCATCAAGGGTTCATATTATATTGTTTTTGTCTTACTGCAGTAAAAACAGTATTTTTTCATGCATGCACTGCGGGTCTAAAGTAGCATTTTTAATATTTAGGGAGTAAAAACCGTTTTTAGCCTCTATGGAGTAAAAATCAGCTGTTGTCAACTCAGTTGTAAATTTCGATTGTAAACGATTGCATGTATCGAAAATATGTATCGATTTGTGCTTCGTAATCATTTTAACATATTACAGTCTACAGTCTCTTCCCGTAGCATTTTAGCATTGCAGATACATTAATCCATTCCCAAACTCAACACTGCTGACCTTTACTACTTCCTTCACCACACCCTACGTCGTGGACCTGTTTCCCTCTCTTCCCATAGCATTTTAGGATTGCAGATACATTAATGTAATTGCCAAAGACAGTTCCCACACTCTGCGATGTTAGCCTTACTACTTCCTTCACCATTTACTACGTCATTGGCCTGTTTCCTTCCTTTATCATAGCATTTAAGTATTACAAATTCATTTATCCATCTGCTCAAACGGTTCCCCCACTCTGCACTGCCGCCAGCCTTTACTACTTCCTTCACCACTTACGTTGTGGACCTGTATTCATTGCTTTCCATAGCATTTTAGTATTTTAGATACGTTAATCTAATTGCAACAAACATCCCCACTGTCCGTACTGCTAGACTTTACTACTTCTTTCACAATTTCCTATGTCTTGGGCATGCTTCCATCCCTTCTCATAGCATTTCAGCATTGCAGATACATTAAAACTGCTACAAACGGTTTCCAGTTCCCACACTCCACACTGCTCACCTTACTACTTCTTTCACCTGTTCCTACGTCGCGGATCTGTTTCCCTCTCTTCCCATAGCATTTTAAGATTGCAGATACCTGAATCTAATCGTCATAAACAGATCCCACACTCCGAACAGCTCGCCTTTACTACTTCCTTCGCCACTTCCCACATCGCGGACCTGTTTCCCTCCCTTTCCGTAGCATTTTAGGAATGTAGAGACCTTAATCTAATCGTCATAAACAGTTTCCATACTCCAGACTGTTCACCTTTACTACTTCCTTAACCTCTTCATACGTCACGAACCTCAAGCTAGTGTCGTCATTTGATTATAGTACCTGGGGACCGAGCTTTGCTCGGGGGAAATCATTAGTTCACTCTGAAAGCACCGTAGTATTGGAGATACATAAATCCAGACATCTACATCCTACACAATTTCCTACGTCATGGATCTGTTTCCCTCCATTCCATTGCATTTAAAGATTGCAGATACCTTAATCTAATCGTCATAAACAGTTCCCACACTCCGGACTACTCGCCTTGACTACTTCCTTCACCACTTCCTACGTCGCGGACCTGTTTCGCTCCCTTCCCATAGCATTTTAGGATTGCAAATACCTTAATCTAATCGTCATAAACAGTTCCCACACTCCGGACAGCTTACCTTGACTACTTCCTTCATCACTTTCTACGTTGCGGACCTGTTTTTTCCCTTCCCGTAGCATTTTAGGTTTGCTGATACCATAATCTAATTGTCATAAACATTTCAAACACTCCGGACAACTCGCCTAGACTACTTCCTTCACCACTTCCTACGTCGCGGACCTATTTTCCTCCCTTTCCATAGCATTTTAGAATTGCAAATACCTTAATCTAATAGTCATAAACAGTCCCCACACTCCGGACAGCTCACCTTGACTACTTCCTTCATCACTTCCTACGTCGCGGACCTGTTTTCCTCCCTTCCCGTAGCATTTTAGGTTTGCTGATACCTTAATCTAATTGTCATAAACATTTCCAACACTCCGGACAACTCGCCTAGACTACTTCCTTCACCACTTCCTACGTCGCGGACCTATTTTCCTCCCTTTCCATAGCATTTTAGGATTGCAAATACCTTAATCTAATCATCATAAACAGTTCCCACGCTCCAGACAGCTCGCCTTGACTACTTCCTTCACCACTTCTTAAGTCAAGGACCTGTTTCCCTCCCTTCCCATAGCATTTTAGGATTGCCCATAC